TGATTTAGCTGAAACAAAATATAGCTGATTTTACTGAAAAAGCAGGATTGTCCTCAGGTAAATTAAATTATGATACATAATTGCAGTGAACTCAAGTGCAATACTTTGTAAGACGTAAGTCCTCCTTTAGTTTTCACATTTTTGTCTTGTATATGGGCAAAACCAGATTAAATTTCATTGAAATTAATTCCAACACTAGATAAATAAGCAAACTGATACAAAGGTACTAACTAGGTAAGTATTAACAATATCGGAATACTTTTTGAATTATATTAAAACTGTCTTGAATGTCCTATCCCAAATCTAAAAAATTATACAGTAGGCTAAGGTGATAGAGAATTTTAAAATGCACTTTCTACCGGTGTCTATATTGAAAGAAGGAGATGCTGAATACCTCAAGATGCCAAGGGAACAGGCAACATTGGAAAGTTGTCACAGCATACTTAAAGACACCTAACCTTAAACAATTGTCTGCTGATCTGTTTCTTCAGAACTGGAACTAATACAACTGTCCTTTTCTGTCTACTACTTTGATTTGAAAATTGTTTTATTTCTACTCTTGCTTAAAATACCTTTCAACTTTTTAATAATTGATGCAGTAACTTCACAAAAGTACAACAGTAGGTGAAACCCCAAGGAATAAATGAAATTTTTATTGCTTTCAATTTTGGGGGAGGCTGGTACATAGCCAAAGAAATTTCTTCCTTTTATCAAACAAAATGACATTGAATTCAATCAGAAGCATAAACATAATTATGTTACTTTAGGTTTATAGGTTCTATCATTGTAACCAAATTATTTTAAAATTTATAGTACAGAAGTTAACCTTGGTGTTTACATGACAACATATTATGCACCTGAGTATATTTTTATTACAACTTAAGTTATTAGATTTCTTTTCAGAATACCAACTGTTAAACTTTCTTAATAATGTTAAGTATCTAATTATGTGAAACTATTTGAAGAGATCTGTGTTAATCCTTGGGGTTCAAGTAAAGTAAAGTAAATTTTTCCCTTTTTCTTCTAGTAAGGCTTCCCTAGATAATGTTCCTATTTGACCAGTTAGGCAAAGATTACTTTAAAAAATATTTTAGATAAAATAACTTGTTTCTTTCAGCTACATTAGTTGATTCTTCCAAATTTGAGATTTATAAATGTATTCTTATCACTGACTAGGGTAATTGAATTCTTGCATTTGTCTCTTTATACACATCTGCCACAATACATCACCAAAGACAAAGAAAGATAAGCTTCTGGCCCAATTTTTGCTTGAAAATTCCAAAGCACTAGGAGCACTTTAAGCTTGGTCTTGAAAGAAGGAGTTGTTTATAAAATCAAAGGGCTACCAATTCCCTGTTCATCCTGCACTGAAGCACATGACAACAATTTCAAACCTTCCTTTTTGGTTCATTAATTAGAACAGTGCATTTCATTGCTTAAGTGTGTAATTCTACAGTGATTAGAAGTACTTGTTTTTATCATTTCATTTGGGTGGCCATTAATTTTGAAACTCTTACCACTCATTATAGCTGGTTGTAGTTTTATTAAAGATGTAATTTATAGCTAGTGGCTTTTTTATGCATAGTTGCCTTTTTTTATTGTTTAACAGTGTTTCTCAGCTATATAATCAGTTTCAAACTGGTTGTAAAAGTATAGCTGTGGCCAATGAATGTATTTATTTGTTGTTTCACTAAATTGTAACAAAAAAAACTCCTGTTAAAATAAAAGTGTTTGTGCTTTTATTTGGAGGTCTGTTTTTTTTAATCTCTCTTAATGAACTATACTGAATGAATTTCTATTATATAAGGATAAGAACCCAAGTGCTACAAGATAAAAGTGAAAATAGAAATTATAAATGATAGTCTGCTGTTAGTGAGCTTATAATTACTTATACCTGGCCATCATGTCCTTTAGTATTATACAGTAATTTCATAGGAACTGCCATACTCTTTACTTTAAACTACCAATACAATATTAGATAGTACATGTTTATTCAAACATTAAGAAAAATCCTGGTATGAAATGAAATAACATCTTTCTACGTTCCCTTTGAATCTTAAATAGAAATAAATTTAGCCCATAATCGTGGGCAGCTGTTCTTTGATTATTCAAGAAATTCTTCAGTGATCTTACCTTTTTCCCTGAAAGAAGAGGTATACCATTTTTTTTCCATAGTAGACCCCTTTCATAACCTGCCAAAACCACATCATATTTTGAATACAATTTCAGGAGCTTTATTGACCCCCACCTCCCAAAGTCCACAAATCTTTGTTGCAAAGAATATTTGGAGTGAACGAATGACCTCTAATAGAATAAAGATACCATTTAAAAGCAATTTATTCAACAAACATTTATTAAGTGTTCATGTGCCAAAAACTATGCCATTGGAGACGCAAAAATGGATAAAGTTTCTTTTCCTGCCCTTATTGAGCTCACATTCTAGTAAAGGAGGCTTTAGAAAACAAAAACAATACAGTACAATAAGTGACACAATAGAGGTAGGTTGTAATTACAGTGGTAACACACACAAAAAAGTTAGCAATGGTCCTCCTTGGATTCAACAAGGGAGATTTCACAGAAGCGATGCTTTATGCTGGGCCTGCAAGGATACATAGAAATTTTCCAGGTGGGGAAGGATAGCTAGGGCACTTGATGCAGAGAACAGCATGCCTCAAGGGGTAGGGGACTGGCCATGGTGCATTTGAAGAACTATAAGTCCATTTTATCAAAACATGGCAGGGTGGGGGAGGTAAGATTGGGAGACACACATCAGAGAACCTTGTTTAGAGGTTCTGGTAGCATTGTGGAGCAAAATAGAAGAGACAGGCTGGGTATAAGATGACAGGTTAGTGTAGTACTTCAGGTAAGAGCAATGAAAATAGAAAGATAGTGATGTATTAGAGATACAGAGATTAAATCCTTAGTGCTTACACACTGATTGGATAGGAGGAAGTTGCGGGAGAGAAGTGAGCCTAGAGAATTTAGATGATAATGGTTCTGAATTTAACCAGAGTAAGGAACACAGGCATAAGAGTAGGTTTGAGGGAGAATAACTGTTTTAAGACACACACAGGTATCTGTAGGACAACCAAATAAAGATATGTCATAGACAGATGGATGGAGAAGTCAGAGCTAAAGGATTTAGAAATCATTGAATTGTAATTACCCAAAAGTGAGTAGTGGCAGTGATTGAGAGCAAGAATGAAAGCCTGAGGAATAACATTTAAGGCATAAATTAAGAGAGGCTAAAAAGGAGGCATCTAGGATTAGGGAAATTGGGGGTTTAAAAAATTTTTTTTTAAACAAGGGGCTGTCAATGGTGTCAAATGCATGGGGGGGGGGGGAGTCAAATAAGAAATGCCTTGTGAACTGAACTGTGGATTTAGAACTGGGTTTTTTAGGCTTCAAAGGAGGAGAATGTTAAGAACTTCAGAGCCAGAAGCCAGATTTTAGTTAAGGAGCAAGTAGGAGGTAACAAAATGAAGATAGGAATATTCTTTTTAAAAAAAAAAATCTACTAAGAAAAGGGCAGGGGCATGAGAGAGGTATACAGGCTCATTACCATTTAAATCCATCTACCATATTTTCAGAATGCTACAAATGTCCTTAAACTTTTATATATGGTGCTTATTTCATAGTCCTTTGTGTCTCCAAGAATACTGACTTAACTAGTAGGTTAATGTCTTTCTTTACCTTCCCTATACAAATGAGGGAGAAAAGAAAAATACAACACATATTGTTAAACTTTGCTCCGTGATTATTCATTCAAAATATACTGAATACATATTCATACATTCATTCAACAAATATTTATTGGAAACCCACTATGTGCTTGACACTATACCAGGCCTTAGGAACACAGAGAAGAAAAAGTATACAGCAGTGTAAAATGACATTTCTAAACCATTATATAAATAAACCCTGCTTTATTAATAATGTGACATCTCAACATGGTATTCCTGCTAAGACATATAAAGAGGCACATAATTTTGAGGTATACAGTTTCTTTTTTTCCCTACAATCACCATGTGATATAAATTCCTAAACCCCTTCAAATATTTTTATCATTAAAGAGTTTTCACTAATAAAACCTCCCAAAATTACCGTTTAGTTTTTTTAAGGAGAAAGGGGTAATGAATACCAAAAAAAGTAACATGCCCTATGAGTTTATAGATCAAACATTAAAAGGGCAACGAAACAAACTTGAAATGATTCCTTATTCTAAGGCTTATCAGTATAGTTCTAGATTTTTTTCTGAAAAAAAAAAAGGCATTTTTAATAAATTATTCAGTATTACACACTAAACTATGTAGGGTTCAAAAGGCATGATGCCTATAACTGACTTTCAAATGACTGAGGAAAAAATAATATGTGTATATATACACAGAGAGAGCATGAAAGATAAAGCAAATATTACCAATTAGTGAATCTGGGTAAAAGAGTTCTTTGTACTATCCTGGAAACTTTTCTGTAAATTTGAAATTATATAAAAATAAAAATTTTTCCTAAATTTTGTTCAACATTAAGCAAAGTATTATGAGAATAAATATATAAATCTATTCAACCTTTTACAATGTATAGAAATCCCCTATGCCTTTTAGTTGTCATTGTATCTTTCTACAAACCAAAACAAGTCCATCAAAATAGTAATATAATTCTAAAAGTGATTTTTTTAATACCAATATATTTTAGGGCTGCCAAATAAAACATAAGACTACCAGTTAAATTTTAATTTTAAATAAGGAATGTTTTTTTTGGTGTATGTCCCAAATATTGCATGCAACATACTAATATTTTAAAAAAACATTTGTTTATCTGAAATTCAAATATAACTGGGCATTCTGTATTGAAAAATTTTAGGCTGTCAATTATGGTTTATTCATGAGCATTTTTTTATTAAACACTTGTTACATTGGCCATAGTTTTATTTATATTACATATTACACAAAATTCTAGTTTGAGAGACGTAAGACATCATGTACTTACTTTTACCATATATCAATTTAATAATCCTGATTTTATTCAATATTAAATTTTAAAATTTGTACATTACCAAAGTATTACTTTTACTCACAATATTTTACATAGACTTAACACAATTTTTAGAAATGTTTACTTACAACAATATAATTCTCCTTTTACAAAAGCAGCTTTATAAAATATTTGCCTTAAGACTCTCACTGTTATTATGCCTTTGAATGAAATTCTACTCTTTGAGCTCCATTGTCCAGAAACAGGCACATTTCAACTAATTTTCTTTAATGAATATTTTGTAACAAGTTCCTGAAATTTTCTAATTCTTTCACACTTGTAGAAATTCTGTAACGAAAAAAAACATTCACTCAGAAACTATCTTAACTAACTTTTCTCTGTAAGTTACTCACTTTACACTTTTTTTCAATATTTATTTATTGATTTTTTGATCGAGGGGAAAAGAGAGAGAGAGAGAGAAACATCCATTCGCTGCCTCCTGCATGCTCCCTACTGGGGATCGAGCCTGAAACCCAGGCTTGTGCCCTAACTGGGAATTGAACCAGCAACCTCTCAGTGCATGGATTGACACTCAACCACTAAGCCACACCAGCCAGACTGACTTTGCACTTTTAAAGCACAGAAAAATTTTTAGGTAATTTATTTCAACAAATTTAAAGGTGCATAAACCATTTAATCTATTTTGATGTACTTTAGTTCTTAACTGGATGTGATAAAACTAAGATAATATTGACCAGAAATTTGTTTTTAAGTATTCATAACTTAGTATTAAAGTTTTAAATTACAGCCCTGGCTGGTGTGGCTCAGCGGTTAGAGTGTCGGCATGCGGTCCAGAGACACCCCGGTTCGGTTCCCACTAAGGGCATGTACCTCAGTTGCAGTTTGTCCCCAGCCCTGGTTGGGTCGTGCGGGTGGCAACCACTCGATGTGTCCCCTTCATGTCGATGTCTCTCTCTCTCTCTCTCTCTTTCTCCCTCCCACTCTATCTGAACAAAAAGAAAAATGTCCTCGGGTAAGGATAAAAAAACAAACAAAAAAAAAGTTTTAAATTACAGAATTACAAAGTACAAAAATATTAAAATACTTAGGTTATTTTAAGTATTCATAAGTATATTTATAAGTTCAGTATTTCAAGTACATAAGTATAAAGTACATAGCATTAAAATATGCATTTTAGCCCAGCTGGTGTGGCTCAGTGGTTGAGTGTCAGGGCACATGCCCAAGTGGTGGGCCCAATCCCCAGTCGGGGGAGTGCAGGAGGCAGCCAATCCGTGTTCTCTCTCATCGATGTTTCTATCTCTCTCTCTCTCTCTTTCCAAAATCAATAAAGAAAAAAAAAATTTTTAAATATGCATTTTAAATATGCATAAATATATGAGTACTGAACAAATCAATATACCATATTTAGTAAACATACAAAGAACCAAAGTTTTTGGACTTTAAAGAATGAGAATAGCCCTGGTCGGTTTGGCTCAGCGGTTAGAGTATCGGCCTGCGGTCCGGAGAGACCCGGGTTCGGTTCCCGCTAAGGGCACGTACCTCGGTTGCAGTTTGTCCCCGGCCCTGGTTGGTCGTGCGGGTGGCAGCCACTCGATGTGTCCCTTTCACATCGATGTTTCTCTCTCTCTCTCTTCCTCTCTCTCCCTCCCACTCTGTCTGTACAAAAAATGGAAAAATGTCCTCGGGTGAGGATAATAAAAAAAAAAAAAGAATGAGAATAGTAAACATGTGATCAATTGTTTTCACTAATTTTTATAAAAAGTAAAGATTTTTCATTATTTCAAGTATAGTTTAGTTCTGCTCTCCGCCATGAAAAAAGTAGCAGAGTATTCAATGAGATGTAACTGTCAAGCTTCTGTGTACTAAAGAATAATTTTGAAGGTCAATTATTTCAAACCCAAAATATTGTCATAATTGTTAGTCCTTAGAAACTATTAGTTTTTATAAATCTCGTATGTAAGAATACATATGATAGGCCAGAAGAAAATGCATCTATAGTTAAATTTTAAAATGTAAGTACATATTTTCAAGCTTATCTTCTAATAATTTTTATGAAATTAATTATTTTTAAAGAGTTATTAATCTTTTTACATAATGTTGAAGTCACAAAGACATTTTACATGTATACCTGTATAAAACAACATGAGTTTTTCCAGGACCTTCAAAAAATATTTGGGTAGCACCAAAAACTACTTTTAAATAATTAGAAAAAATATACAAATTCATAAGATGAATACTGAAGTCCAATCAGTAAATTAATCATGATTATAAAAGTAAATAGAGCCCTGGCCGGTTTGGCTCAGCGGTTGGAGCGTCGGCCTGTGGTACAGAGAGACCCGGGTTCGGTTCCCGCTAAGGGCACGTACCTCGGTTGCAGTTTGTCCCGGGCCCTGGTTGGTCGTGCGGGTGGTGGCCACTCGATGTGTCCCTTCACATCGATGTTTCTCTCTCTCTCTTCCTCTCTCTCCCTCCCGCTCTATCTGAACAAAAAATGAAAAGGTGTCCTCGGGTGAGGATTTAAAAAAAAGTAAATAGATAAAATTTAAGAATATCATGTAATGATTGTCTATGTCTACATACGAAAGGTATTTCATAAGATCCTAGAATTCTGTAGTGAGATAATTTCACTATAAAGGATATTCCTTACCCAGTTTTATCTGAGAGTGTACATGTTGCATTAGACTTACTTGACTAGCAGAAACAATTTCAGTACATTCAGACTAACCTTCCAAATGCATTAAATAATGATACTATTTCTTGTCTGGTTAGATGAAATTCATAACTGGGCCCACTTTCTGGCATATTCGCTATTAGTTTCTCAGAAAACAAGATCTTCAGAGCAGTACCCAAACCTTGAGTCTATTAACAGAAATAAGAAAAAAAGAAAAATCAGAAAATTATTGGTGCAAAAATAAATGAAAAATAGGACTGAGATAGATTTGCTTACCTGAAGCTTTCCCCATAGTCTACATTTAAAACAACCAACACAATCCATGATTCTTGAAATGTTTCTAAAATGCAGTCGAAATTCCTCCTAAAAACAATTTAACAAAATTGTATTAAGTTGCAGTAGTCAAACACTATTTTCTGAATGCCTTCTATGAGATGTTCTGTTGTATGTGATTATTAACTATATGTCCGTATCAGGAAAGGGAGCACAGAGGCTGGATGGCCTCATTTACCAAAGAAAGAGACGGCCCTGGCCAGTTTGGCTCAGCAGTAGAGCATCGGCCATGGACCAATGAGTCAAGGGTTCGACTGCGGCCAAGGGCACGTACCCCAGTTGCAGTTCATCCCCAGGTCGGGGTCGTGCGGGAAGCAACCAGTTTATGTGTCCCTTTCATATCAATGTTTCTCTCTCTCTCCCTCCCACTCTGTCTGAAGACAAATAGACAAATATCCTTGGATGAGGACTGAAAAAAGAGAGAGGGAGAGAAAAAAAACAAAAACTTTGATTTCATAGTAGCTAAATTAAAGCCTTCTTTCTGGTGTTAATTAGTTGAAACAATCAGATCTTATTATTATTGTTATTCAGAAATATACAAAATATAGTAAACATCCATGTACGCTTCACCAAGTTTTATAAAGCAACCATTACAAGTAAAATTGAACATTCTGAATTTTTTGTTTTTATACTTATAATAAATGTGTATGTATCTTTAAACATTAGGGTATTTTTATATTGTTTATAATAGGGCAAAAGGCATCCATCTCATCCAAAAGCAGTATATGTCTTTAATAAGAAAAAGAGAAGGAAAGCCAAGAACACATCCTTTGTTTACTCCAATGATAATTATTAACTGATCCTCCACATGACTCCCCCTGTCCTGGACTTATACCAAAATCAGCTTAGAGTACTGTAAGTAGGAAAATTGACACACATTTCAGATGTAACATCCAGTATACCAACTGACCTATAATTTGGGGAGCATGTAGTGTTTCTCTCTCTCTCTCTCTTTTTTTTTTAATGTGATAAACCACACACTGGGCTCAACCAGAATAAAACAGGACCAAAAATCTAAAAATGGGAATAAGTCAGCTCAGTTGGTTGAGCATCGTCCCATGCAGCAAAATGTCATGGGTTCAATTCCCAGTCAGGGCACTTGCCTGGGTTGTGAGCTTGATCCCCAGTACAGAGTGTGAAGGAGATAGCCTATCACTGTTTCTCTCTCTCATTCTCCTTTCCTCTCTTTCTAAAATCAATAAAAACATTCAAAATAAAATAAAAATGAGAATAAATCATCAAAGATTAGAACCCATTGCTCAAAGAAGACCTCAGTTCACTCCAATTTACTCAATTTAGTCTTTTCCACAGATGTTTCATTCAGCTTGAGACTCTGAAACAGCTGTAACATGGACCCCAGGTCTTCTATCTTTATTAATACAAATTATATGTTAAGACAAAGCCCAAATTATTACTATTAAGTATTACCAAATATTAGCAATATTCTATATTTTGGGTTTCTGTACCTTTTGGGTTGAGCTCAGTAAGAGATAATCCTAATTTTATTATTATTCTTTTTCTTTTATTGATTTTTAGAGAGAGAGAGAGAAACATCGATGAGAGAGAACATCTATTGGCCGCCTCTTGCATGCCTCCCACTGGGGATTTGGCCCACAACCTGGGCATATGCCCTGACTGGGAATCAAACCAGCGACCTCCTGGTGCATGGGTCGACACTCAACCACTGAGCCACACTGGCTAGGTGGTAATCCTCATTTTAAATCTACTTTTTAAAAATACCCAGTGATATTACTAATATTACTCTTAAGATTTTGGTGATGTGATTTGAGGTTTCCTTTAAACTTATGTTTCAACTTTGAATTAAAGAAAAATCATACTTTTAACACTAATAACAGAGCAGTAAAATTACCCTGAAGTAGATGTTTCTATCCTTTGAAGTGTTGGCCTCTGGAAGACTTAACAGTTGTGATAAGGGCCTACAAAATCCACTTATAGACAAGCAAATATAGACAAAAAAAATAGCTCACATGTATATACTGTAAATTTCCAAATGGATAAAAATGTTATGATCAATAAAATCAACTTTTACTTTAAAATGTTACTAAATACATAGTGGCTTTTTGGCAATTATATTTTCACAGTGAATAGATATGTAAGATACCACTGTCATAAGGAAAGGCCTTGAAAGTTTTTTGACTTTCATACTTGTAAAAGATGGAAGCTTCTGTTATAAAAGATTGTGCTTGTTTTGTATATACTGTCTAAATTTGTTATTTGAATCTATGTTTATTAATTCAAATGCAAGAGTCAATCTTTCTACGGCTTACACAGAGAGTAAGCACGTAACACTGCAAAATGAAAACCAAGCACAAGTGCTTAAGTGAACTTAATATGCTAGAACCAAATTAATAAGCCAGAAATTGACTAGCGTAGAACAGGAGAAAATCCTTGTGACTTCCACAAATACCAATCAATGTCTAATAATCTAAGTATATTTCAAATTTATCTCATATTAGAAAAATTTATGATCCTTAAAATAACCAGAACCTAAGTCACTTACAAATCATCTTTGTTTATGTACAGTTTTTAGATCAACACTTAAAAGTATAGTTAGGGGGTAGAATAATCAAACATTCTGTGGTTTATATACTGTGATTTATGTCCAGTGACACCAACTGACCAAAAAACAATTCCCATTCAATTATCAAATGTTTTATAAGCTTTCAAGTAAAATCATACTTTAGTTTGAATTGAACACTAGACAGTCCTCTTTCATGCAAGTCTTATATTTCTAAGCAAACATTGATAGAGCATAAAGAAGACAAGATGAGATCTTTAAAATGTGACTGTTCAAATCTATGATGTTCACCATAAACTAGTTTTTTTAAAGAAAGTAAATCTCTGATATTAACAAGTTTTCTTGTTTTTTTTTTTCACTCCTTTCTTATAAAAGGATTCAGAAAAATTATCTGTGAAATGCCAAAGGACATCAAACCTGAGTGTTTTAATTCTGATAAAATTAAAACATTATGAGAAATATTTCTAATCAGCACTATATAAAACTAGTGAATGCCAAAACACTCCAATAAACTGGCAAGTATCCTAAAAATAAGGAAGATATTGAAAATAGTAGGGAGGGGTGTCTTATTACAGCATCTTCCCCCTCATTTCTAAGTTCCTGGAAGCTGTTTGGGAGGTTATATAAGCACTGAGATATGTATTTCTAGCAAGTAGGAGGTAGAAGGGAGGTCAGAAATAACTGTTATCTAACAGCAAAAACTGAGTGCAAAAAGTTTGCTTGCAAACAGCATAAAACCAGGTTCTTTCCTTACAGAAAGAAACAATAAGAAACAAGAAGATTGTTTTAAATATTCTGATGAAATCAGATCAAGCCCAATGCTTCTGAAGGCTACCTGCCTTTACTTACCTATAGCTTTGTGACAGAGAACAGTAATATAATTTTACTTGAGTCTCCAAATAGGCTAGAAATCCCTTGAGTATAGGAGTTGTTTCTCCTTTTAATGACAAAAATCATGCCCGCTCCATATAGTAAGCATTTAATCACCTTCCTAATACTATTTTATATTTGCAGTATTTTGATGCAAGTGGACACAAAGATGGTCTTGCCTGAGTTGATACCTCTTTTAAGAGGCATGCCAAACTATACACCTAAACTAATATAGTGCTGTGTGTCATCTATAATTAAAAAAAAATACACACACACATGCACACACACATCAGTAAACAAAAAGAGGCAAGGTAAAAACCAAACCTCATTTTGTGGGGTATCAGGTCTTCTGTTCTTTCCACAACTGTATTCTGGCATTTCTAAACGCCTTTAATTCCCATTGAATAAGATGTGCCCTCTCCTCCTAAAGACGATCCTTTAATTCAACCAAAACCATTTTCAGAATTCTCTTCAGCCAAGCAGACCAATACTTCCACTGATGCTCCAGATCCCTTTCCTTTCATGTATAACCTCTTTTTAATACATGAGGCCATCAGTATGGAAGCCATCAACAAAGTGTGCAGTGACACTGATTTCAGGTGTTACTTTGAACATAATACAAACTAGATCTTAAGTTGGATCTGCTTTTTGATTTCCTATATTGAGGAAAAGAAACATTATGACAGACTTTTCTTATAATTTCAGGATATGTATCAAGATTCATTGTTAAGGATAAAAACATGGGCTTATATTCATACTTGCATAAAAATTTGTATCTAAAAATGAAGTAACAGTATAAAATAGTTACCTTTAGTTTGTTTGCTTCTTTTTTATCCCCAGCAAAAAATGAATTTTCATCAAAATGCAAAGGAAATGACCTGCATTTTAAAAGAGAATATTCATTTTCATATAGTATAAAATATTAAAAGTTCTGCTAATGTAACATTTTGCTGGTCAGTGATGAATCATATAATTAAAAGAGAGTAAAAGCAACACTCTGATACCTCCCCAAACAAATTCTTACCCTCGAATCTAACAGCTAACTGCAGCCCTGGCCAGTTTGGCTCAGAGTTAGAGCATTGGCCAGGGGACCAAAAAGTCCTGGGTTCTATCCTGGTCAAGGGCATGTACCTCGGTTGCAATTCGTTCCCTGGCCCTGGTCAGGGTTGGGTGGGAGGCAGCCAATTGATATGTCTTTCTCACATTGATGTTTGTTTTTCTTTCTCTCTCTCCCTCCCTCCCATTCTATCAGAAGATAAATGGAAAATAATCCTCAGGTGAGGATTTTAAATAAACAAATAAAAGCTAACTACAAATTATAACTGAAGTTTGGCCCCAAACCCAACCTGTTCAACTGAATGTGAAAATAATGCAGGTATCCAAGTACAACAAGAATGGCTCTTAAAATGAAAAAGACATGCCTTTTAGTACCCAGGTTAAAACAAACACAAAAACATAAATAAATTCTAAAAGACCTCTGAGCAAAATTTGCTGTGAATTCTTTTTCAAATAATTTTCCTTTCTCTATATTGCATATTTAAGAATTTAATTTTGGATATCACTTGTCCCTCTTCTATTAATGTATATGTTGTAAATATGTAATTTACTTGATTTCATGAAGAATTTCCAGTAGGAACATTTTGTTATCTGCATCCTGAACTTTATTCCCAGTGAAGAGTTGAAAATCTGGGCGCTCAAAGAATGGCACCACTTTAGATAAAGCCCTTAATTCTATTAAGTAGAGAAAATACAAGTTCTTTAGCCTTCTTGGACCTTCTCCCTCAGTCAAAATTCCATCAAACCGCTGCTGAAATTCTGTGATGTTGTGTCCCCATATCTGTTCTAACCAGGTATCTAAGAAGAAAGAAAAATTAAATATTAAAAATTGAATCTTAATGTTCATATTACCCAAAGCAATCTATAGAATCAATGCAATCTCCATCAAAATACCAATGACATATTTCACAGAACTAGAACAAATACTTCAAAAGTTCATATGGAACCAAAAAGAAACCCAAATAGCCATAGCAATCTTGAAAAAGGACAAAGTAGGTGGGATCACAATACTGCATATCAGACTATACTACAAAGCTTCTGTAATCAAAACTGCCTGGTACTAGCACAAGAACAAGCAGATAGATCAGTGGAACAGAACAAAGAACCCAGAAATGGACCCAAGGCAATATGCTCAATTAATATTTCACAAAGGAGGCAAGATCATACAATGGAGTAAAGATAGCCTCTTTAATAAATGGTGTTGGGAAAATTGGACAGCTACATGCAAAAAAATGAAACCAGACCATCAACTTACACCATACACAAGAATAAATTCAAAATGGATAAAAGACTTAAATGTGACCTGTGAATCCATAAAAATCCTAAAAGAAAATGTAGGCAATAAAATTTCAGGCATCATATGCAGCAGAATTTTCACTGATACATCACCTAAGGCAACAGAAAGAGAGGAAAAAATGAACACATGGGACTACATCAAACTAAAAAGTTTCTGCACAGCAAAAGAAACAACCATCAAAATGGAAAGGCAACCCACTGTCTGGGAGATCATCCTTGCCAATGATACATCAGATAAGGGGTTAATCTCCAAAATATATAGAGTACTCATACAGCTCAACCAAAGGAAGACAAAGAATCCAATTAAAAAATGGGCAGAGGAACTAAATAGACACCTCTCCAAACAGGACATACAAATGGCCAAGAGACATATGAAGAAATGCTCAACATCACTAATCATCAGAGAGATGCAAATTTAAACAACAATGAGGTATCACCTCACACCTGTCAGAATGGCCGCCATCAACAAATCATCAAACAACAAGTGTTGGCGAGGGTGTGGAGAAAAGGGAACTCTAGTACACTGCTGGTGGGAATGCAGACTGGTGCAGCCACTATGGAAAACACTATGGTGTTACCTCAAAAAATTAAAAATTGAACTGCCATTTGACCCAGTGATCCCATTTCTAGGAATATACCCTAAGAAGCCTGAAACACCAATCAGAAAGAATATATGTAGCCCTGTGTTCATAGCAGTACTATTTACAATAGCTAAGGTCTGGAAACAGCCTGTGTCCATCAGTAGATGAATGGATAAAAAAGCTGTGGTACATATACACAATGGAGTACTATGCAGCTGTAAGAAAGAAAGATCTCTTATCCTTTGAGACGACATGGAGGGACCTGGAAAGTATTATCCTAAGCGAAACAAGCCAAGCAGAGAAAAGACAAATACCACATGATCTCACCTATTTGTGGAATATAATGAACATAACAGTCTGAGGAACAGGGTAGTCTCAGAGACGTGGAAGTAGGGTATAGACTGACAACCCTCAAAAGAGGGGGTGGTGGGGGAAGGGAAGAGATAAACCACAGAACTTATATGCCTGTACGCATAACCAATGGACACGGACAACAAAGCTGGGGATGGGGTTGGGGGGATGGGGAGGAAGGTGTCAATGGGGAAAAAAAGGAGAAACATCTGTAACAAAAATAAATTAATAAATTACAATGTTAAAAAAAATTAAATCTTAAAATTAAGTAAGCTTTATTTTACTTACATGAGGTTGTTTATGCCTACAGAAGTTAATTTCATTTTATATATTAAAATACATAATACAACCATGAAAACTGGTTTTCATAGCTTAGCCTTTAATAGTTCTATATTAATATTTCATCTTCTAGAACCCATCCATAAAATGAAAATAAATTAAACGTTTTACTGAGAAACCAGGTTTAATAAAAATCAAATTTCAAAATATAAAGTTATTCATAAAACCAAAACACACAATTAAAAAATGACTACCGAAATTACTAATGAGTTTGAAGCCTTAAGGTTACTATATTTTATTTCTAAAACAAAAAAACTTTAATTCCAGAAGAAGTATGTTACTGATGAAAATTGACCATGGTCTCATTTTTCAACATCATTCTTCAAGCATAAAGAGCAACAGAAAATGCTTTTACCCATTAAACTCCAGGCTGGAGCTGGCCCACAAACAAAAGAGTGCTGATACAGTAATATCTACAGAATAAGGAACTGTGCTGTTTTGATTCCCACAGCAAAAGAACATTTCCAAAGAGATGCTTACATGTTTGAACGGCTTCTTAAAAGAAGGTAAAGAGCTAAGATAAGGCTGAGCTTTTCCTCATAGTATCTATAGTTCCTATATTCCTGATGATTACCATTTAAGAATGACTTTTTTCTGCCTAATATTCAATAGGATCAATTTTGTCCCATTCAAGTAAATACCAAGAAAATGATAAGAATGCCTGAAAATAAGTGTGGTAAAGTGAATGTCACATACCTTGTAGAAGATATCGTGCACTCAAGTGCACATTAATGCTTGCATGGAGGCCAGATATAAGTCTGTAGAAGGCTCTTTTTTCTACACAGAGGCCTAGGAAAAGTAATTTGGAAATAAAAATTTCATATATGAAACTTGTAAGATCGTGAAATTAACATCATGTGTCTTTAAAAATGAGAGAAAAAAGCATCATTTAAATGTGTTTAAAAGTTTTCACTTACCTTCTAGCCAGCTATAAAAAGTGTTCTCTGAAATTAAAAGAAAGGCAAGTCACAGGATTATAAAAATGCCACAAGGTAAGTTTTTCAAAAGTTGAAAAATATATGTGCCCTGGCTGGTGTGGCTCAGTGGTTAAAGCGTCAGCCTGCACATGGAAGGTTCTCAGGTTCCATTCCCAGTCAAGGGCACGTACCTGGGTTGCAGGTTCAATCTCCACCCAGGTCAGGCAGGGCGCATTTGGAAGGCAACTGATCTACATGCCTCTCTCACATTAATGTTTCTCTCTCTCTTCCTCCCCCTCCACCCCTGCCTTCCTTTCCTTCTACTCTCTCTAAAAATCAGTGGAAAAAAATATTCTCAGGTGAAGATTAACAACAACAACAACAAAAAGTTGAAAAATATAGCAAATTTCTGCCAAATAGTGGTTTAAAGATTATTTAACAAAAGGTCCAAATTTTATTTGCAGTCTCTCCAAAGGAAGGAGAGATGCCTTGGTATGGGTTCAGTTAAGTACCACTATCCTGCTCAGTCTTTAAGCTTAGCATTAGGTAGTCTCAGTCTCATAACTTTCTGGATAAGGTGTTCTGTAGGAGGTCAAAACACTTTAAATGGTAAATCACTACATGGAAAAATACTTATCCTTGATAACAGTTCATGCTGTGAAAACTAAGAACTCATTATATGCTTTTTTAAATTTGAAAAGTAAATAAAAATTATAAAGTAGAATTGGAAATGTATATAGCTCATGGTATTACATACCATTCAATATTTCTTTTTTTTTTTCTTTTGGAGAGAGTGAGAGAGAGCCGAGAGGGAAAGAGGGAGGGAGAGAGACATATGAGAGAAGACACATTTATTGGTTGCCTACCACACGAACCTGGACCAAGGCTGGGGATCCAACATGCAACCCAGGTACATGTCCTTGACTGGGAATCAAACCCAAGACCCTTCGGTGCATAGGCCAACACTCTAACCACTGAGCAACACCAGCCAGGACTCAGTATTTTTTTTTTATCCTCACCCGAGGACACTTTTCCACTTTTTTGTTAAGATAGAGTGGGAGGGAGAAAGAGGAAGAGAGAGAAACGTCGATATGAAAGGGACACATTGAGTGGCTGCCACCCGCACGACCAGCCAGGGCCGGGGACAAACTGCAACCGAGGTATGCACCCTTAGCGGGAACTGAACTCGGGTCTCTCTGGACCACAGGCTGACACTCTAACCACTGAGCCAAACTGGCCAGGGCAGGATTCAGTATTTTAAAAGAGCAAATCAAAGAACAGTTATAGAAATCAAACATCATTTTTATTCTATGACCTAATAAGATCACTGTTAATATACTTAGACCTGGTAATTCTTAGAATTATGCTCTAAAGAAATAACTAAAAATGGGGAGAGGTTATAATTTTTAGAAAGATGATTGGTATATATGTTTTAAAATTTTAATCAAAATGTATAATGATGCCTAACATGGCAGAATACTATATAACTAGTTATCATGGTAGAATAATATAAAACTATTTGTAACATGACAGTATATGAAAATGTTTACTTGAAGTAATATATTAAAGGACATAAGAAATAACTATAAATATGTAGAGATTCCAAGTATGCATTTGCTAGAGATGGCAAACATTGTCCTATGTAGTTCTTTTGCCTAAACTTGCCTATAGTAATATTAAAAATGAACCAAGCAAGCATAAAAGTAATGGAAGAAATAACAAAGGGAATAAGCGATAAATTAGACTATAGTTCTGAAAGCTTAAAACATCTGTCAAGAAACTTCACAAATAAAAGTAAAATACAAACAACAAAGGGTAAAATGGATGTAGCAAATACAACAAAGTGATAATATCCCAAAAATGTAAAAAGCTCGTAAAATGAATAAAAATGCTAAAGTGCCCATTACAAATGGGCAAATAATGTGAATAGTGAATCACAAGGAAAAAATACAAATAGTAACAGATACAAATTGCTCAGTTGTGGGCCCGATCTCCAGTGGGGGGCATGCAGGAGGCAGCCAATTGATGTTTCTGTCTGTCTCTCCCTCTTCCTTCCTCTTTCTCTAAGATCAATAAAGGAAACAAAAATTTTAAAAAAATAAAAATAAATAAATAAAACTATAGAGATACCACTTTTAACAATAAAGATAAATATAATATTTAATGCTGACAAAGATCAGGTAAAACTACCTGGCACAATGATTGGAAGGGATGTAAATTAGCACATCCTCTCAATGACAAAATGCAATCTCATCGTATGTATCAAGAGTCTAAAATGTCCATATCCTTTGATCCAGTAAATCTATTTCTAGACATCTAGGCTGTTAGAGATAAATGTTTGCATGCCCCCTAAAATTATGTTGAAGCCCCCTGTGATGGTGTTTGGGTGGGGCCTTTAGGAGGTAATTTGGTTTAGTTGAGGTCATGAGGGTGGGGTCCCCATGTTGGAATTAGTGTCTTTATAAGAAGTGGAAGAAACTCAAGCTTTTTCTCTCTCTGCCAAGTGAGAACACTGGCTAGGAAGAGGGCCCTCCCCAGAAACCAAATCTGTTGGCATGTTGATCTAGGACTTCCAGCCTCCAGAACTGTGAGAAAATTAATGTCTTTTGTTTAAGCCACTTAATCCCTGGAATTTTACCAGAGCAGCTTGAGCTGATTAAGACATAGTTTTATATACTATAAATATATCTATTATAAAAATATACATATAAAAATAATTATTATTATCAAAATATTAACAGAGAAGCAGTATGAGATAGTAACTAAGAGCTTGGACCCTGGAGCCAAACTGCCTAATTTGAATCCACATTCTGCTACTTACAAGTCATATGACTTTACCTCAATTGCTAAATGGCTCTGGGACTCATTTTCCTTGTCTATAAAATAGAAATAAAGACTTCCGGTCAAGATGGTGGCGTAGGTAAACGCGGTATTGTCCTCCCACAACCACATCAAAGTTACAACTAAACTACAGAACAACCATCATTCAAAACCGTCTGACATCAAGCTGAATGGAAGCCCTACAGCTACGGAATTCAAGAAGCAGCCGCATCCAGACTGGTAGGAGGGACGGAGGTGGAGGGGCTGGTCCCACATCCACGTGTGGCGGATAAAAATCAGGAGGACACCTCGGCTGGGAAGGTCCTCCCTGAGGACTGAGGAGTCCCGGTCCCACACCAGGAGCCCTGCTCAGGGTTCCAGTGCCAGGAAGAGAAGTCCCCATAACTTCTGGCTGGAAAAACCAGCGGAAACTGAGGCTCAGGGAAGCTGAGGCGGCTGGAGCCCCAGGCAGCTCCTCTTAAAGGGCCCACGCATGGACTGAATCGGATTCACTCCCTCTAAGCTTGGAGGGGAGGCAGCTTGAGGGGCGCCAGAGACATACAGGGAAGAACAGCTATTTGGCATTGGAGCGAGAGCTAGAGAGGGGGTTTTCTCTGGGACAAACGTGCTGTCAGAGGCCTTTGTTCCTTTGGTGAGCCCTTCCCTGGGGCGGCAGACAGTCACCATATCTGGGACTCCAGCAACCTGGCTCACGCTGGTAGCCCCGCCCTGCTGACTCCCTGAGGTCCCGCCCCACCCAACTTTCAGGCCCACCCAAGCTGTTGCCAGTTGCTTAACCATGGGATTGGCCTGTCTTGGATCCTGCTTCTGGTTTTCCTTAATTATTTCAAACAAGCAGCATCTGGTCTCAGCTAGCCCCATACCTCTCGTTAAGTAATACACAGAAACAAACACAGGGAGGCAGCCAAAATGAGGAGAAGAAGAAACAGGTCCCAAATGAAAGAACAGAACAAAACCCCAGGAAAACTAAGCGAAATGGAGATAAGCAACCTAACAGATGCTGAGTTTAAAATATTGCTTATAAGGATGCTCAATGAACTCAGTGAGAACCTCAGCGAACTTAGTGAGGGCCTCAAGAGCATAAAAAAGGACCACTCAGAAATGAAGGATGCACAGTCAGAAATGAAGGAGGCACTAACTGAAATAAAGAATAATTTACACAGATCTAATAGTAGAATAGGTAAAGCAAAAAACACCCAATCAGAACAGCAAAAAAAAAAAAAAAAAAAGAATCCAAAAACATGAGAATAGTGTAAGAAGCCTCTGGGACAATTTCAAGCATGCCAACAATTGCATCTTGGGGGTGCCAGAAGGAGAATGAGAGAACAAGAAACTGAAAACCTATTTGAAACAATAATGGCATAAACCTTCCCTAACTTGGTGAAGGAAACAGACATACAAGTCCAGGAAGCACAGAGAGTCCTAAACAAGAAGAACCCCAAGAGGCCCACACCAAGAAATATCATCATCAAAATGCAAAAGGTTCAAGACAAAGAGAGAATCTTAAAAGCAGCAAAAGAAAAACAGTTTGTTACCTACAAGGGGGCTCCCATAAGACTGTCAGCTGATTTCTCAAAAGAAACTTTGCAGGCTAGAAGGGAGTGGCAAGAAGTATTCAGAGTGATGAAAAGCAAGAACCTATAACCAAGATTACTCTATCCTGCAAAGTTATCACTTAGAATCAATGGCCATATAGAGTTTCCCAGACAAGAAACAGCTAAAGGAGTTCATCACCACCAAACCATTATTATATGAAACATTGAAGGGTCTTCTTGAAGATAAAGAAGACAAAAATATGAACAAACAAAATGGCAATGAATACATATCTATCAACAATTGAATCTACAAACAAAATGAACAGGCAGAACAGAAACATTCTCATAGATACAGAGAACATTTTTTTGGTTGCCAGATGGGAGGGGGGTTGGGGGAATGGGTGAAAAAGGTGAAGGGATTAAGAAGTACAAATTGGTTGCTAGACTGACAAATCTCAAAGGGAAGGGGGCTGGGGGGTGGGAGGAAATAAACCAAAGAATTTATATTCATAACCAACGGACACAGACAACAGTGTGGGAAAAGGCAGGAGAGGGTGGGAGTGGGGAGGAGGGGGTCAATGGGGGAAAAATGAGGAACATCTATAATACATTCCACAATAAAGATTAAAAATAAATAAATAAATAAAATGGAAAGAAAAGTAATGCCTCTGCCCTGGCCGGTTTAGCTCAGCAGTTAGTGCATTGGACCAGGGACCAGAGAGTCCCACGTTCGGTTCCCGCTAAGGGCACATACCTCAGTTGCAGTTTCTCCCCGGCTCCTGTTGGGGTCGTGTTGGTGGCAACCACTCAATGTGTCTCTCTCACATCGATGTTTCTCTCTCTTCCTCCCTCTCTCCCTCCCACTCTATCTGAAGATAAGTGCAAAAATGTCCTCAGGTGAAGATAAAAAAAAAACAAAAAACTTTGGGTTTTTTCCCAACTTTTGGACCATGAATGAGAGAAACAGGAGTGTAATACTATTTGGGACCTAGACTTCCAATAAAATTTTCAGTTCACTTTCATAATCCTGAAGTAGCTATTTTCAGCTTGACCTGGCTGTGATCCAGTTAGATAATCACGTAATATAAGAACTGTAAGAGGTAACCTTTTCATATGTGACCAAAATTAATACTTATAAATACAGTCATAAATAAGATAGTTTCTCTAAGGATAGCCTCCATAGGTTAACAGTCTTCTCTGATGACAGACAGGTTGAGATCTTCAATTAGTATGGAAAAAAACAAAATAGCCTCTTCTGGCCCTGGCGGGTTTGGCTCAGCGGTTAGAGCGTCGGCCTTCAGACCAAAGAGTCCCAGGTTTGATTCAGGCCAAGGGCACGTACCTTGGTTGCAGTTCGTCCCTGGCCCAGGCTGGGGTCATGCGGGAGGCAACCAATTGATGTCTCTCTCACATCAATGTTTCTCCGTCTCTCTCTCTCTCTCTCTCTCTCTCTCTCTCTCTCTCTTCTCTCTCTCTCTTTCTCTCTCTCTGTCTCTCTCCCCCTCCCTCCCACTCTGTCTGAAGATAAATAGGTAAATATTTTCGGGTGTGGATTAAAAAGAAAAAATAGCCTCTTCTGGTGTAGCTGGACTATAGAATAGAATTAGAAACACCCACGGTAAAAGGAGATTACTCAAAACTGAAAAGTATAGGATAATTACTAACAAAATATGAGGCATCTTTGGAAAAATAATGTTACTGCTAAAGAAATTTTTCTTCCAAATAGTTCAGTTCTGATTCAATATTTAATTAGCTACTACCATTACTATTAATATAAACTACAATAATAAAATAGCAATGTTACCAGACATTAATATCATTCTTGACACAGTGCAAAAGCAATTCATAAAAATAATGTTCAGAAGATTTTGAGGGAGAGGAATGTAATACTTCACCTTTAACAATTTCATTTAGCTGGACTAAAGCTAAGTACTGCTTAGTTTTTTTCATATTGTTAAGCACATGGCCTTAATAACAAAAATCATTTTGATCTTACTCATAAAGCAAAATGATTCCAAAAAAGACAAAGTAAACTAACAATATGTTAAAAACTTTAGCATTACAATTAACTTGAAGAGTTGGCAATGATACCTACACCTAAGAGTCAGCATAAACCTTGGAAGACAGCCAATAAATCAACACTCTGATCATGCCTAGAACCTTCCTGTAGGAACTGGGCGCAACAGATCCTCAAGTCCAACCAGTAAGAGGGGTTTTCCCTGAGAGAGGCTGGGGAAGACCTGTAGTTTCCAAGTGCAGTGGAAAATGTAGGAGTGAATTATCAGAGGCTGATGCAGGCCAGACAAATTAGTCATTTTCTCTTAACCTGTGCTTTCACCTCCAGAATTTTAGATAAAGAAATAAAAATTAACCTCGTCTGAGTCTCCGAAGTGGAAAAAAGAGTTTGCCAAAAAAACTTCTATATAAGCAAATTCATATGTGTAATGTATGATAAAGAAATTCTACTTACCTTCACTTTTCCCTGAAAAACAAAACAAAATGTTTATTATTATAAACTCCTTCCAGATGCCCTCTTAAAATGCTACACTTCCATAAAAATAAGACTTATCTAATGGTTAGTTTTAGTCCATCAATTCATCCACATAAGCAGAATCCGTGAGATACTTCTGATTGTAATTCTTGTTGGTGATAGGAATTATGCCTGATTTGACTAAATGGCATCATCTCCAAGAGCCCAAATAAAGAGTAGTTTCAGCTCATACAAGATTTAATGTGGGCTAACAGGAGATAAAAATCGAATCTGTCATCTGAGAGTACTCTCGAATACCTTAAGGACTTATGGTTATTTGGCTGGCAGAGCCTTTTTCCACATTTATTTATCCTAAAGCTATAACATAGTTTCTGCTACAGATCTGCATTATTGCTTTGAAACTTCCAGGCTGACATTATAAAATTTTACTCTATTCAGGAATATTTTTAGAGACTATTTGTAAGATTTAAATTATGCACAATTCAGCAGTATGTATGCAGCTGTTCATTTACAATTAAAAAATTATCTTCATTTGCCCACTTTTATTCAGTGACATCACTGTTTGATTATTAAACATGCTCATTGCAAATATATGTTTTTAAGAAGGAGAACAGAAATGAAATTTAAAATATCATCCATAACTCCCTCTGCCCAAAGATAAATACCATTTACATTTTGGTAAATGTCTTTTTTCTTTGTGTGCAGATATTTGATGTTATAGTTTTACAAAAATATACTGTACATACTTTTGTAATGTTTTGATACCTGTTTTTCCTCAATATGCTATTGACCACTATTGATGCAAATGAATACAAATTTTCAGCAACATTTATAATGGCTGCATTCTACCATATGAATACACCATAAATCATTTAACCCCTTCTGTAATGATAAACATTTAAATTGTCCTCATTTATTTTTAAGATAAGTGAGCGTGGTTAATTAATTTATCAGACCATAATGTGAGTTTATAGTGAAGATCACCTCTTGTCTAGGAATTTGCATTTAAATCAATACCTTCCACTGAGTTACCATATGTGACTCTACATAAACTCAAAAGCCTTGTTTAAAGATGTTCCTCCATTTATAATCTACGAGAAACTAGTCTGCCAATATTTAGTGAATGACGCAACCCACTGCTTTCCAGAAAGAAATCTGTGTTTATGGACTATATGAGATCAGCTTTTCAAATAAAAATTTTAAATGATAATCTTACACATTTGCTAAAAGCACATCAAAGATTTCATTGGTAAGCACATATTCAGACAATAGGAATATATATTATTACTGTTTATTACAGACTGGAGAAGGGTTTGTGAATTTCAATTTCATATCCCCTCTGTACCTGCATGGTGCCTAGCACATAGTAAATGGTGGATAATAATTTATTGAAGGAACAAGAGACTTTTACTATTGTAGACAAGAGTATTAAATAAGACAATTTTCATCCATCAATTATTTAACAAACTACTCCATCTATGATGTGCCGGGCTCTAGATTAAGAAATGAACCAATAAATGTTGCCCACATGTCCAAAGTACTAGAGTAGATTAATAGATACGTAAATAATAGTCAAATAATGCACAAAACATGGCATAAGATCACTTCACAAGAAGATATTACTGCCAGTTAGGAGGATCAGGGAAAGTTTTGTGGAAAAGGAACAATTTGGGCCAGACCTTAAGTGTAAGTAGAAAATGAAAAATATTAAGAGATAAAAAGATAAGTGAATTTGAAATCAGATTCCCAATACATGTACAATAATTTCAAGTGTTGGGAAAGATTTGAGGCAGAAGTTTTTAGATATTAATTTAACTAGAAACTGAGTAAAAATAGAACTAAGCACACATTCTGCAAAAATGCATAGAATATATGTATAACCTAATCTTCATCCTATGATAGTCTAATACCATGAACTTCATTATAAAAATACTCCTTCCTGAAGTGTATTTCAAATACCAATTTCTCTGCAAGGGTAAGACATAAATTCTATGGAGAAAGGAATGTATTATCTCAAATGCTCTTGCCAGATCTTATCTGGCCTTCTCCCTCCTCCTCACCAAAGTTCACTGGCTGATAAATATAACAGTGCAATTAAATAACTCACCTTGACTGGAAGCCAAAGGATTTAAAGGCCTTTTAATTGTCTGTGGCCTAGAATTAAAGTATAAAATATAAATATGTTATTTATAATGTTATTTAAGTAAAACTGAAATTATCTCAGAAAGTTTCTTTAAAACTATATACAAAATCAAAAATTTTTATTGAGCTTATAAAACATTTATTTTTTTGTCTAGTTGCTTTAAGGGTGGGTGGTTGTTATTTGTTTTAATAATAATAGCTTCTGATCTTTTCCCATTGTTGCAGCCAAAAATTCATTTTCTAATCACTTCTTCAAACAAAGGAAGAAAAAATACCACTCACTCTCTTCTAGAGTCACTAATATGTTTTTAAATAGATTTTATACACAAATGTGTGTGTATATGCCATAAAGTGCACTCCAAATTGAAAGAAAAACCAAAAATTTAAATACCCAACACAAGCATTAAAATAAAAAAGAAAAGAGTATGGGTAGATTATTTTCCACTTAGGAAATCTGAGATATCTCAGTTTGCCCTGTGGCCATCAAGGTTGTTATGATTTCGATAAAAGGTATTTTTTTGTTTGTTTGTTTTCTTTATTGATTTTGAGAGAGAGGAAAGGAGAGGGAGAGAAAGATAGAAATATCAATGAGAGAGAACATCAATTGGCTACCTCCTGCATGCCCCTCACTGGGGATTTGGCCCACAACTTGGGCATGTGCCCTGACCAGGAATCAAACTGGTGACCTCTTGGTGCATGGGTTGACGCTCAACCAGTGAGCCACACCGGCCAGGCAATAAAGGTGTTTTTTTTTAATAAGAAAAAAAAAAAGATTTGATATGTCATTAAAGTGCTTTTAAATCTTAAAATGAATATTCATTAGTATCATTATGTGAAGTGTAGGTATTGTCTTAATGTCCATTATTTAAATTTTACAAATTTGCACAGGTTGAGACACTGAGAAGAGAACCTGTAAGTTATATTTTAACATGCTCAATTTAGCACCTCATACATTGTTTATATTTTAGAAATATTGTGGTAATCATGATATAAATTAGTTAGAAACGAATTATAAAACTAATACAAAATCTAACAAATGCTTCAGTTAAAATCTAGTTCACATTTTGCCCTGGCTGGTTTGGCTCAGTGGTTAAAGCGCCGACCCAGGGACCAGAGAGACCTGCTAAGAGCTTGTACTTTGGTTGCAATTTGTCCCCGTGTGGGTGGCAGCCAGTGGATATGTCTCTCTCACATCAATGTTTCTCTCTCTCTCTCTCTCTCTCTTTCTCCCTGTCTCCCTCCTGCTCTATCTAAAGATAAATGCAAAAATGTCCTCGGGATGCCCTGGCCAGTTTGGTTCAGCGGTTGGAGCGTCAGCTTGCGGACCAGAGAGTCCCAGGTTCAGTTCCCGCTAGGCTGCTAGGGGCATATACCAAAAATAAATAAATAAATAAATAAATAAATAAATAAATAAATAAAATCAGACAACCCTTTCTTTAAAAAAAAAAGTCCTCGGGTGAGGATTAAAAAAAAAAAATCTAGTTCACGTTTTTAAACAAAATAGCCTTTAAAATAAGTCAGTAAACCAAACATTCTGAATAACAGTCAAGAGAATTTAAATGAAACGTATGGCACAAATGAGTACACAAGGAAAACTCTCCACTTCCCAAACTGGAGAAATTCTTCAAGTCAAAAAAAAAAAAAACAGTCTGACATTTTATTGGTATAAGTACACTTGCTGATCTCTTAGGTTTATATTTGACTTATGAAAAGTGAAATGGCCCTGGCCAGTGTGGCTCAATTGAGCGTCAGCCTGTGCACCAAAAGGTCACTGGTTTGATTGCTGGTCAGGGCACATATCCAGGTTTCAGGGTTTGATTCCTAATTTTTTTTTTTTTCTAGAATGAGATGTATCATCACCATATCTGAAAACTCCAAAGACTTTCCCAGAATTCCCCCAATCTCTAAAACAACATCACACACACACGCACACACTTCTTCCAAAAACCAGTAAGCAAATTGTTTAGAGCCTAGAAGCTTACAAGTAAGTGAACTTGAAGCATGTCTCAGTCACCCAGTGATCAAATTGACTGCTTCCACTGAAGTGGTTTAGAGTACAAAGTGCGTTCTTTGACAATGGGCAAATCACTTAAAATCAGCTTTCCAAATTTCTGTTTCTACATCTGTAAACAGTGATGACTACAACACAAGGTGATGGGACAGACTAAAGGAGAAAATCTATGTAACATGCTTAGCACAATGCCTGGCACACAGTGAGTGCTCAAGTGTTAGCTATTATAGTTATTCTGTGAAATTAATTTAACTTTAAAGCAGGTAAAATAACTATAGCTACAAAAAGGAGTGTAAGTCACCAAAAAGAGAATCAGGAGTTATATATTTTAATCTATTCTCTGCCACTAACTATATAATCTTAGAAAACGAAGTAAATCTCTTTGACTCTAGGTTACTTCATCTATAAAATGATATTCTATGATCCACTCAAGAAACATTTTTTTAATCCTCACCTGAGGATATTTTTCCATTTATCATCAGATAGAGTGGGAGGGAGGGAAGGAGAGAGAGGGAGAGAGAGAAACACAGATGTGAGAGACATCAACTGGCTGCCTCCTGCACGACCTGATCAGGGCCAGGGACAAACTGCAACCAAGGTACATAGCCTTGCGAACCCTTGAGTCATTGGTCTGCAGGCCGATGCTCTAACCACTGAGAAAACTGGTCAGGGCAGAAACATTTTTCAAGTGCCCACAACATTCCCATAAAAGTCTAATACTATTATAAATCTTTTAAAGAAGAAATATATATTTGTTGAAACATGTCTATATGTTTCCCCAGAGGAGAACTAGGTTAATGAATAAATGCATTCCTATGTCCCAATACATCCGTTAACAAAGTAAATTTGATTTGTACTTTTAAATCATGATTATTTTGTTTGTTTACAAAGAGAAATCACTACATCTTCCAAAATTTTCTAAATAGAAATGACACATACTTAAAACAGTTTTCTTCATAGATGACATTCCATATCTTCCAAGCATCTGGTCCCTTGTAACCCGTGTAGCGCTCAGGATTAAGGAGCAAATCTACATACTCAGCATCAGGAGACTGTATGTCTATAAAATAAAATTACTTATTAAACCTGTCTTTTTTCAGTTACTTTTAAAAGCTAGTACACAAGACTGTATTCCATTGATTCTAAGGCACCACAAATGTGTCAATGCCTCAGGGATTTACACTTAGGACAAAAACAACTTTTCAGGAGCAAGATAAGAGGGAAAAGAGGAAAGAACCAACACAGCCACATTAAATGTACACACTGGTTGCAAAAGCATCCTGCTTTTAGAAATGGTGCAAAATAGGAATAGGTGAACTTTAGAATCAAAGGAACATGGTAATTCAATTCTCATAAGCTATCCAAAGAATATGCTATATACTGCCCTTCACATTAACTACAGCAATTTTTCTGTAACTAAGGTAAATACGGTGTTAGTACCATACACTGTTTATTATCAAATACTTCCTTCTTGTGTGCGCACTATCAGGATCCACTACAAAGCTGTCCCGAAGGTATAATCCTAAATGTGCAAAAAAATAATATGCAGGATGGCATTTGTGTCAGCATTATTTATAAAGGGAAAAATTGGAAGCAACCTAAATGCCCAACAGAGCAGAGCTTGGGTTCTGGAGCCAAAGTGCCTGGGTCAGAATCCAGAACAAGTTATATAAATGCTTCGTACCATCATTTCTGAGATGGGGATAACGCCCATAGTGTTACTGTGAGACTTAAATAAGTTATATATGTGCAGAGTACTTAGGACAATGGTAAGAGAATAATAAATATTAGCTAGTGGTATTGATGTAACGATGTATACTAATAGACCATTTACAGTCAAAACCATTAAGTACAAAGGCTATCTAATACAATGAAAAGATAAATATATAGAGAGGTCAATTACAGATATATAAAAAAACATACAAAAATTGGGATTTTGCTTTCTTGTGTGTTCTATAAATTTGTATATATATTATAACTTCCAAACAACAATAAAAAAGGCCCCTAGTCTTCCAGTGGCTTTGGGAAGTTATTTAATAGCACAGCAATACCTTACTCATCTAGAAAGCTTAACAATATGAATCAACAAAGAATGAGGAAGTGGGGTGGGCAAAACTGCCCTCAACACAACCAAAACAGATGACAAAAATCTGAGCAGAAAGGTGTTTATAAGAGAGTCCATCTAGCTTTCAATAGTACTTACTACTTATATATATGTTAAAAAAAAAAAAAAGACAGTCCAACTGATGTGGCTCGGTGGTTGAGCATCGACCCACGCACCAAAAGGTCACCAGTTTGATTCCCAGTCAGGGTACGTGCCCAGGTTGTGGGCCAGATCCCCAGTGGGGGGCATGCAGGAGGCGGCCAATCGATGTTCTCTCTCATTGATGTTTCTCTGTCTCTCTCCCTCTCCCTTTCTACCTCTCTAAAATCAATAATGAAAAGGAAAAAAAAAGACAAAAATAAAACTAAGCTCTATTATTTTAATCCAAATTCACACTATATTGAAGGCATAAATTAGGTGGAAATTTGCTTCTAGAAGCAACACAATGACAGCATCTAGAAATAACTGAGAGTCTAATGCAGAAGTAATGCACAATATAGCAAATTATAATAAATTCATAAAAACGGTGATTCTTAAAATATGTAAATAATGCTCAGCAACTAGTACTTTAAGGCAGAAAACTAACCACCAAGAAATTATTAAGCCCTGGCCAGTTTGGCTCAGCAGTTACAGCGTCAGCCTGCGGTCCAGAGAGACCCGGGTTCGGTTCCCGCTAAGGCCGCATACCTCAGTTGCAGTTTGTCCCCGATCCTGGTTGGTCATGTGGGTGGCAGCCACTCGATGTGTCCCTTTCACATCTATGTTTCTCTCTCTCTCTCTCTCCCTCCCACTCTGTCTGAACAAAAAAATGGAAAAATGTCCTCAGGTGAGGATAATAAAAAAATAAATAAATAATTAAAATTTGTATATTCTGCTTTTCTGCCTAATTAGAGATAAACAGTAGTTGGCTCATAATTTTACGTATGATAAATACTTCATGTCTCCCAACTTTATTTTTTTTAAATGTTACTAAAACTATATTTTGCCAGATGACAAAAGCTCACATTTCTCATTTGGATTTATAAAATACCTTCTGCAGTCCACCTACCATTTACATACATGATGTATTCCTTGTAAAGTTTTCCTTTTTTATAATATCCACCCTCCTTTTACAGAATAAGCAAATACAGATTGTCAAGTGATTCACCCAAGATAACAGAATACCATATATAAGATATAAGAAGTGAATTATCGGTTCTTAGTCCTTGCCACACAAATATAAGCATGCAGTCTCATAAGGATACTTTTAAAATAGAAGTCAAGGTATTACCATTTTTTCTCTAATACTGCAGGCCTTTTAAAAAAGTGCTACATGTTATAACTTTATCTCACAGCATAAATGTTTAGGGCAAAGAATCCTTGTGGAAAAGATGGCAAAGTTCAGGGGTTGGGAGAGCATTTATCCCTTTCCTTTACTAATCCACACTCCTTATCCAACATCCCTGAAGTCCAATGTGTTTTGGAATTAAGAACTTTTTTTTTTTTTAGTATATGTGCTGCCGAAGCGAGCACGGAATTAAGAACTTTTTAGATTTTAGAATATACAGTACATGCAGCATATACTGAATATTATCCAGCAAGGGCTAGGGGAACAACTTTTGATCAAACACATAAATATTTCTGCCATGAAATACATGAATATTCCACAATGAATCTATGCTCAAGTGAAGGGGGAAATATTCACCTTTCAAAGTTTTCAGAATTTGGAAATAAGAATAGAGGAGTATAGACATAATTTGCCAAAACATGGCCATGTTTTATATTAAGGATGTGTTTCTTTTCTTTTTTTTAAGTAGGAGGCAGAAAATTAAAAATAAGTACTTTCTTTTTTTCCTCCTCGTTTTGGGGATAGGGAGAGTTGCAGACTTCATCTTATACTTGTAATTAAAATGATGTGTGTCACTTTTTTCACTAATTTTTTAAAAGGTCATTAATCTACTCTAAAAGAGCCATAGAAGAATACCAAAATTCAGTTTGATTTGATGTTTAGCCAATTAAAGGGCTAAACAATCCAACTTAGGAAAAGGGAGACACTAGAAAAAGGAAGAACGGGAGAATCCATAAATCTTGATTGAAGAGTTCTAATGGTTTGTAGGGCTCCTATATTTTAACAGCTTAGCTTTAGATGTAGTAGATACAACTCATGGGTCATTCTTCTTCTCTTTTCCAAAAGTAACATGGGTCATGATTAAGGAAACTATTTAACAATCCAATGCCAGTAAAACAGAAGCAGGTTTTTGCAGTCTCTACTTTTGTCTTTCCTTTATTGATTGTGGAGAGCGAGGGAAGGGAGAGAGAGATAAAAACATCAATGAGAGAGAATACTGGCCGCCTCCTGCATGCTCCACACTGGGGATCAGGCCCACAACCTGGGCTTGTGCCCTGAGCGGAAATCGAACCAGTGACCTCTTGGTGCATGGGTCGACCCTCAACCACTGAGCCACACTGGCCAGGCTGCAGTCTCTACATTTTAGCTATTTATGCATAATGCCTGTATATATTATAAAAATTATATAACTAGCCCTGGCCGGTTTGGCTCAGCGGTTAGAGCGTCCGCCTGCGGTCCGGAGAGGCCCGGGTTCGGTTCCCGCTAAAGGGCATGTACCTTGGTTGCAGTTTGTCCCCGGCCCTGGTTGGTCGTGCGGGTGGCAGCCACTCGATGTGTCCCTTTCACATCGATGTTTCCCTCTCTCTCTCTTCCTCTCTCTCCCTCCCACTCTGTCTGTACAAAAAAATGGAAAAATGTCCTCGGATGAGGATTAAAAAAAAAAAAAAAATTATATAACTAGAACTACAGAACTCAAGAGGTGACTTTTTTTTCAAAAAATGGAGTTTTCTTTTTAAGCATTTTTATTGTGGTAAAATATATATAACATAAAATTTACCATTTTAAACATGTTTAAGTATACGACTCAGTGGTATTACATTCCCAATGTTGTGCAACCACCACCACTGTTTCCAAACTTCTCTATGACCCCAAACAAATATTCTATAACCATTAAGCAATAACTCCCCATCCTCCTTCCCTCCAACCCTTGGTAAACTCTAATGCACTTTCTGTCTCTGTCAATTTACCTATTCTAGATATTTCATACAAATGGAATTATATAATACTTTTCCTTTTCTGTCTGGTTTATTTCATTTAGCATTATGTTTTGAAGGTTAATCTACATTGTAGCATGTATCCGAACTTCATTTCTTTTTATGGCTAAATAATATTCCATTGTATGTATATACTACACTTTGTTTATACATTCATCCATTCATGAACACTTGGGTTTTTCCCACCTTTTGACTATTACCAATAATGCTGCTATAAACACTGGTGTAAAAGTATCTGTTTCCCTGTATTCCGTCTTTTTAGGTGTATGCTTAAGGGTTGAATTGTTAGGTCATGTGGTAACTCTATATTTAGCTTTTTAAGGAAATGCCAAACCATTAGAAACTGAGTTTGAGAAGTCATTTTTAAAGAATTATTTTTTTCTTAGGTATAACTTTTAAACAAAATGCATACTATAAAAATGTTATACCATCAGCTTCACAGAAGTTGTCTGAGGAATCATCATGCTTGGTCCACTGAAGAACAGCCTTCTGCGTTTCCTCACTTTAAACAAAGATAATAGTATTATTCTTTTTTTTTCAAGTTAACATTTCACATGAAAAAAAAAAAATCCTGCTGCCAAAAAATAATCGAACCTCAGAGATTCATCCACAGCTCCAAGTCGTTCAGCTTGTTCACATTCTTCAATGAGATTATTGGCTTCTTCAGAATACTGAAAAGAGAAATAAATAGAATACAACTTACTGCATTTTAAAAACTTTAAAAAAGAATTTCAAAGTTATCTGAAGTTCTTTTATACCTGGTACCATCACCTGGGCTTCAAAACTTAAAAAAAAAAAAAAAATTAATCTCTCACATTCCTCCTGAAACTAAAAAAATAAAAGGCTTTGCCTCTTGTTTTTATTGAAGAACATATTTACTATGGTGATCACAAAAAAAGGCAGATTATAGTTCTGATAACTCATCACCAAAATCTCCACCAGGAGAATCTCCGATGTGTAAGGAAGTCACTAGGCAAGGAGCCAGCGGGCAATGTTCCACTTTCTAATAACCTCATTGTAAGCATCAGTTTTCACTTCCATAAAAAAGTGGTTGAACTAGATCTTGTGTGTCTAAGGTTCATCTTGATTCTAAATGTCATGATTCTTTCTAAAAGTGCCTGAAGCCTATCAAATCTTATAAAAAGTATTCCAGCCCTGGCCAGTTTGGCTCAGCAGTTGAGCGTTGGCCTGCGTACCAGAGAGTCCCGAGTTCGGTTCCCACTAGGGGCACATACCACACACACAAAAAAAAGTATTCCAATATCTTTAGGTATTTAAAATATATTCTTTAACAACCACATTTCTTCTCAGTGTCTAAGTATCTTTATATACAGATTATGCTTGGCATGTATGTAGCACAGGGGAGGTGAGTATGGATCATAAGATTTCACAGCACACCAGTCATCACCATCATATAGCTGAAAGACAACATCGAAAGCAAGGGACCACCAGTTCAATCACATGACAAATATATACTGAGTGCCCATTATAGCCTTATTGACTATATGACTATACAAATGACTGTCCAGACTACAACGCTTTTAAGAATAAAATAACTGAAATGATATAATTTTTTCAAATATGTATGTACTAAATAACAATTTTGTTTCCTTACATTGGTTGACCTATAAGATAGCTTAATTCAAAAACTACTTTCAAAATAAAAGTACTTTATACATAATTAAAAGGTAAAGGGATGTGATACATTCAACCATCTCTCAAACGGTTCAGAAAATAAAAAGAATATGTATATAGAAAAAGCATGCTAAAACAAGTGAGGCAAAATATTAAAAATTAGTGAATCTGTATAAAGAGTATATAAAATATCTTTATACTAATCTTGTGGCTTTTCTATAAATTGGAAATTATTTCAAAATAAGTTAAAAATACACATCAAAGTATGAACACAATTTCTTCAAAAAATAATATATACATATGTATATTAATATAGTAGCATATATTAAAACAAAAAAATTTTTAACTTTATTGTAATTATCTGAACGTTAAAATAACTATTCTTAGTTCCTAGTTAATTTAATCAGTTTCATTAAGTCACATGTTTCATATGATGTTAGTGGCATTTTTCTGAATAATAATCTCTTTTCAACTTGTTCTTATTAAATTTTCATGAAATTTCCCCTGATTTTCTTCAAAGTTAATTTTCATAGGTAATCAATTTGAAATCATCAATACCTTCAATTGATTCTTCTCTGCATATAATTTTTAATTGAAAAAATATTCTCTCTACAGGTAAATGTGTGAAAATATTTTAGCACAAATATTTTCACAAGTTCTATCACAAAAAAACAGATACCAATGCTAGCTGTTTAACCAAACAGCTTTTGTCTCCAAAGTATATTTCGTCAATAAAAATTTTAAGACAAAACTCATCAAAAAAGTTGTCTCTATTTTTTGTATTATATTAAATGTTTTGCTAAATAGAGACACTACAAAATTGTAAGCCTTCTTACATTCATTTCATTTCAGGTCAGAATATAAATCTATCCAATTAAAAGCAAGTGTTTCATCAAGAGGAGACTCTTCCTACAAGTAAAGACCATTATAAATTTTCAGAATTAAACCTAATACATCATTTGAACTTTCCTCACTTAGTGTGTTCAATTCCTCCCTTGTTTTTATAGAAATAAATTTTCAGGTCTGTTTAGAGCTTTGTTATAATAATTGCAATGTGCTTAACTTTCAAAAGCTGAAATTTATTTATTTATTTTTTATCCTCACCCAAGAACATTTTTGCATTTAACTTCAGACAGAGCAGGAGGGAGAGAGGGAGAAAGAAAGAGAGAGAGAAACATCGACATGAGAGACACACATCCGACTGGTTGCCACCCACACACCCCAACCTGGGCCGGGGACAAACTGCAACCGAGGTATGTGCCCTTAGCGTGAACTGAACCCAGGACTCTCTGGTCCGTGGGCCGACGCTTTAACCACTGAAACAAACCGCCAGGGCCTTTTTTTTTCTTTAAGCACTCTATTCATTGATACTTTGAATACTGACTTTCCGCTGAATTTAAACAAATTGCAATCAACATTTAGAGGGCTCATTTTATTTTTAAAAATTTTCAGTATCACCCTGCCTGGTGGCTCAGTTGGTTGGCATATCATCCGGTACACCAAAAGGTTGCAGGTTCCATTCCAGTCAGGGCACATACCAAGGTTTTGGGTTCGATCCCCGGTCAGGGAAAATACGGGAGGAAACTGATCTGTTTCTCTCTTGCATGGATATTTCTTTCCCCGCCCCCCTTTCTCCCTCTCTAAAAATCAATGAAACATATCCTCAGGTGATGATTAAAATTTTTTAGTATCACTGCAGGACACTTTAGATGGTTTTACAAAATAGTTCTTCAAGGGTTCAAACAGTTAAAAGTCTGACCGATGATGGACAGCGAACAAAGTACTCCTGCCATGCCACAGTCATGTTCTCTTCAGCATCAACTTCATCTCAACAATCTTATGGTCATTACTAGTGTGTCTATATAAATCCAAAAACCTATATATTTTTCCAGTTACCACTTCTATCTTAATTGGTAAACTATCACAGTGTGTTTGAATACAATTATGAATTATGTGTGTGTCTTACCCAATTGCAAATTCATTTCTGTTCCACAGATTTCTTGATTTAGTAATAACACTGTTTTTACCAAGACATTGTTTTTATAAGAATTCATATATATATTATCACCATAAAACAAATATTTTATCTTCAATTTTGAACTTTAAATGAATTTATACTAGCATTCACAATAGTGACAAATGTTTTCATTCAACAAAATGAACTTCCAAAATGAACTTCTAAAAGTTTTACTTTGAGTCCATCAATTGAATAAAAAAAGCAAATAACTTCTGGATTTAAAGATTTTCTATTGAAAATCACTATTGATGGTATCCTTTAACTATGTACAAATTCTGCCTTTGAAGCCGACACACTGGCCGTGATTTCACTCTTTGTATGTAAACAAGAAAACATGGAATAAAAAGTGAGCAAAATTAGTTTAGAATCTGTAATAAATAAGTGAAAAGAGGAAAAAGATACAAATCTCCCATACTGAAGAATTCCAAACAATTTCTGTCCTCAAGGAGATGGAATATTCTGGAAGTGTGGGCTATGCATAGTGATTTCCTTCCAATGAATACAGTATGGAAATGGTGAGAAAGAATAAATCTACTGTGGAGAAACCTGACAAAACGACCTCACTCAACTGTTCAAGGTTAACATTGCCAGTGAAAAGTCATGTTAATAGGATGTGATGTGATGTGACAAAAATGGCACTTTACCTTTGTGGTCTTCCTCCCAAAAACACATAACTCTATTCTGAGCATAAGAAAAGCATGAGACGAACCCCAATTGAGGGGCATTCTGCAAATGCCTGACTAGTACACCTCAAAAATATTTTATCAAAAACAAGGGAAGTATGAGAAACTGTCAGAGCCAAGAGGAACCTAAGGAGACATGATTCCTAACCATAACTTGCTATTCTGGATGGGGTCCTGAAACACAAAAAGGGCATTAGGTACAAAACCAACAAAATATTAATAAAGTATGAACTTTAGTTAGTAATAATGTATCTATATTGGTTCATTAATTATAAGATATTAATCATAGAGGAAACTAGGTGTGGAGTATATGGAAACTCTGTACTATCCTCACAATTTTTCTGTAAATCTAAAAGTATTACAAAATTAAAAATGTATTTTAAAAGAGAGAGAGACGTAAGCGATACATCAACCAAATGCAATGTATGGAATATATTTGAATCCTGATTTCAAATAAATGATTAAGGTACTTAGGAAAAACTAAAGAAATCTGAAGCCTGGCTGTGTTTAGATTTTTTAAAGTATCTTTTTGTCTTAGAGATGTATATTAAGTGTTTATGAACAAAATGATTTATCTGAGATTGGCTTTAAAGTACTTGGGAGAATGAAGTGGGATGTACAGATGAAACAAGATGGACCACACATTAAGTAAGAACTGCTGAAGACATGCGATGGATACATGTTGTGTGTTTTCCCCCCTCTACTTTAATTTTTCTTTCATGCTTTGCATAATAAAGGGTTGAGCAAAAGAACTGGAGCCATTGAATATAAATAACTCCCAAGTGGTTTCACTATACAGGGGAGCAGAGAAGTGGGGTAGTAGCTGGCAGGGAAAATGAGTCTTTTGAGTTTGTTAAGATACTAGACACATTAGTAAATACATACATACCTTATAGCTCGCAGATTTAATTCCATCAGGAACTTCATCCTGAAAAAATTTTTAAATGCTTTTATATGACATTTATTCTACTGAAAAAGTATTTTAAATTTCTATGATGTATAAGAAAAATTCATAACAAATTATTGAAGTTAATATTTTTAACTAAAAATAGGCAGTTTTTATATAATTTCCTACAATTAAAAAATCAACAAATTATTCTATAGATTGCTAATATATATACTACAGCATGGAAATGTAGTAGTCATTTAACTGTTATTCCATTTGATACTCAAATTGTCCACATGTGGCCACTAGGGGACCCACTAATGCTTACTTGGTATTTGCACCTGTGTCCTTTTGATATTATTTCAGTAATCTTTTTTTTTCTTTACTGAATTTAGAAAGAGAGGAAAGGAGAAGGAGAGAGAGAAACATCATGAGAGAGAACATCGATTGGCTGCCTCCTGCATGCCCCCCACTGTGGATTGGCCCACAACCTGGGCATGTGCCCTGACCAAGAATAGAACCAGCAACTTCTTGGTGCATGGGTTGATGCTCAACCACTGAGCCACACTGGCTGGGCTACCCCCATAATATTTAACAGTATTTTTTGTTTTCTGTTATGACTAGATATTCCAAGCTCATTTTGTATATTTCTTGCTCCAGTCTTGGAATCGATCATATTTTAAGGAGCTTTAGTTCTTTTCAGAGGAAAATGGTACCAGTTTTTAGTCAAGCATTGGCCATGTACTAACTACAGGAGCTAGCTGCCTACCGTTAAAGTGATGCTGTGAGTACAGATAATGATGTATGTGGGAGAATTCTGTAAATTGCAGGACCCAATGCTAAGTATATTCCTGAATTAGAGTATGCCTGCCCAAAAGGAAGGACCCACACAGAGACATCCACTTTATTGTGTACCTTTCAGACTCTGAACTAGGTCAACATATATTCTTGTTCTATGGCCAGATATTTAGATGGTTTCTAATTTTTTCTTATAATAAACCATGCCAAATGTATAGGCTAATTTCTTTTTCCTTTTCTTTTTTCCTCACCCGAGGACATTTTTACATTTATCTTCAGATAGAGCAGAAAGTGGGGTGGGGGGAGAACGAAACATCAACGTGAGAGAGACACATCGACTGGTTGGCACCCGCACGACCCCAACCGCAGCCAGGGACAAACTCCAACCGAGGTACATGCCCTTAGCGGGAACCAAACCTGGGACTCCCTGGGCTGCAGGCCGACGCTCTAACCGCTGAGCCAAACTGGCCAGGGCTATATAGGCTAATTTCAGCAGAAATGACATCTGCACAAAATTCAGTACTGCTTTACTTTGAACATTTGCTTTATTATTTTAGTAAGTGAAATTCCTAGTAGAGTTGCTAGGTTCAAGGATATATACCTTTTTAATTTTTAATTTTTGATACATTTGCCCAATTGATCTCCAAAAAGACTTCACCCAGAGTGCTCATTTCTTGATGCCAAACTAACACTGGCTATTGTTATTCTTTTTCACACTGGCCAATTAATAATGGAGGTGAGAGAACACTGTTTTGATTCACTGTAAAGGCAATAACTGGTGTTTCAGCTTATAGAGAGCAGACCATCAGCCACATTCAAATGTTCTCTGGACTCAGGGGTGCAAATCAAAGGATATGGATTTTAAAGACCAAGTCTGAGGAAAAGAATTTTTATTTTTATTATTTTTCTATCACCTACTGGGTCCCAGAGTATAACTTGAATCAAGTCTAAAAATGAACTGAAAAAGGAAATCAGTGTTGACTAAAAAGAAACTGGTCTTGGTTCCCTATTTAGCCCAAAAAAGTATTAACAAAACAGCGGCAGACCATGTGAAGCAGTGAGTTATCGGTATTTAACCTTTTCATTAGATTAAGAAAGAATTAAGTGTTTTAGGTGTGATAACTATACTGTGGTCATAATGTAATATCCTTTAAAAAAAAAAAGTTTTTATTGATTTTAGAAAGAGAGGAGGGAGAGGGAAAGAAAAACATCAATGTGAGAGAGAAACATAAATCGGCTGCCTCCTGCATGCCCCCTACTGGGGATCAAGCCCACAACCCAGGCATGAGCCTACCATGAATCCAACCCAAGACCTTTTGGTGTATGGTATGACGTTCAGCCAACTGAGCCACATCGGCCAGGCCTGTGATATCCTTTTTTAAAAGATGCAGACTGGATTATAATAGATTTCAAAATATCAGTAACCTACAATATAAATACTAGCTATGAAAGCTGATTATTTAGGCTGAAGCAAGAATTTATTTCAAAGTATTAGAAATGGTCTCTAATCATTCTTTCATTCTGACTGCCCTATTTAGGAACTATTGGAACTGAGCCCAGGTTTGTCCTAAGGGGAATATAAATGGTTCATTCCTCACTGTCACTTAGAGTGTAGTTTCTCATGTCTCCCTCCTCTGCTGTCCCTTTCCCTCTGCTCCCACAGTGTGTACACATTCAATACATCTATTATTGGGCTATCACATTTGCATTGCAATTGTCACTTAGTGTTTGTCTCCCCTACTAACCCATAGCTCCTCAAGATAAAAGCTCATCTTATATGTCCAGATTGTGGCACATAAAAAAAAAAAAGCCCTGGCTGGTTTTGCTCAGTGGTTAGAGCGTCAGCCCACAGACCAGAGAGTCTGTGGGCATGTACCTCGGTTGTGGTTTGTCCCCGGCCCCGGATGGGGTCGTGTGGGTGGCAGCCACTCGAAGTGTCTCTCTCACATCGATGTTTCTCTCTCTCTTCCTTCCTCTCTCCCTCCCGCTTTATCTAAAGATACATGCAAAAAAATGTCCTCGGGTGAGCATTAAAAAAAAAAACAGGTTGTGGCATAGCATAGACCCTCAAAAAATATTCACTACTGAACCAAATTACATTCGATTGCTGAGTGATAGTCCTTCACCGGTTTCTTCTCCATATCCTCATCTTCCTTCCCAGACCCCACAGTATTGCCAATTATCTTTCCAAAATCTTGGGTCTAATCATGGCCCTTCACACACACACACACACACACACACACACACGCACACGCATACATATATATTATATATGTATAATTATAAACTAATAATATATTTAGGTGGATAAACATCATCTAATTATCTTTTAAGGAAAAGCCTTCTCTCCATTGTGAAACCAGCTCAAGAAAAAAACAGACGGTTGGCATGAAAGGTACTCTGTCCCACTCTGTAAAAGGTGAAATGATTAGATTCTGTCTCAGTTTCTCAGTGCAAATTGCTAATTTTCACCTGATACTTTTTTAGCATTTCTGTGTGTTCAAGTCAAGTAATGAGCATCTATCTTTTAGCATTTTTTAAATGCTAAAATTGGTGGTTGTCTCTAGATATTACAATACAATAGGTCTCATCCTCAGTCTGTCAACCTGGGAATCAATAAGCTATTACTTGATGCTAAACATCTCAGGTTTCCTGCCCACTCCAGTCTTCTCAAGGTGGCATCCCCTAGTTCAATCCTTCAGTAACAATAATCAGAAATAATTGCTAGTTCAAGAGGAGATCAAATTTGTAATAACTGTAAAACTATTTGCTTCTTCTGACTAAGGTTAATAATAACCCATTAATAAGGAAATTCTGCATAAAAAAAAAATAGCCCAGCCTTGGCTGGTTTGGCTCAGCAGTTGGAGCACTGGCCCACAGACCAGAGAGTTGCGGGTTCGATTCCTGTCAGGGACACATACCTCAGTTGCAATTCGATCCCTGGTGCAGGTAGGGGTCGTGCAGGAGGCAGCTAATCAATGTGTCTCTCTCACATCCATCTCTCTCCCTTTCTCTCTCCCTCCCACTCTATCTGAAAATAAATGGAAAAATATCCTCAGGTGAGGATTAAAATAATAATAATAATAGCCCATTTAATGTACAAGTACAATGAAATGCCTTTATTAAGTATCTACCATATTTTTAGTACTTTAATAAGTCATATAAATAAGATATTGGTAAATTTAAATGTTCCCAACTTTTTTCTCTATTACTAAATATAAACGCTAAACTTATTAAGTAAAATGAAACATTTAAATTGATAATATCACTTTAATGATATATTCATGCTTTAATCATGGTAACACAAGGTGTTTCATAAGTTAACACTTGAATTTTCAAAAGCTGTATCTATGTGGATTAATATAACTAAAAACATCCTTCTCATTCATCTAATGATAAAATACCCCCAAATAATCTTACATTTACTTTAATTCCACATGCTACATAGGTCTATATAGCAATACTTACATATATAAAAATAAACTGCTCAAACCTACACTACTACTTCACACCTGTTGGGTGGCTATTATCCAAAAAAGAGAAAAAAGCATGTGTCGGGGAGGATGTGGAGAAAACGGAATCCCTGTGCATTGCTGGTGGGAATGTAAAATGGTACAGACACTGTGGAAGACAGCATGGTGTTCCTCAAAAAATTAAACATAGAATTACTATATGATCCAGCAATTCTATGTCTGGGTATACTATATCCAAAAAAACTAAAAGCAGGGACTCAAACAGATATTTGTACCCCCATGTTCATAGCAACCTTATTCACAATAACTAAAAAGAGGGTGTCAATGGGGGGAAGGGAGAAACATCTGTAACAAAAATTAATTATTTTTTTAAGTGGTCAAAATGGTAAATTTTATGTAGTGTATATTTTACCACAATAAAAAAGTAAAATAAAACTATATACTTTTAAAGAAAAAAAGTCTTCATTGAAAAGTATAAAATTCTCTCACAATAGAATACTTCAAATTGTACTGCTCTGAGAAATCCTTCATAAAACCAGGTATTTTGTCCAACTCCTTCCCACCGAAGGAAGCAAGGAAAATAATACATCCACAAAAAAGGAGAGGGATTTTGTTTATACCTTGGTTAATTTCATTTTATTATACTATAAACATAACTTTGTTCAGGTAAGATATAAGAAGAAAAATAAAAATCAAGCTGAAAAACTACAGATGTTCCTTGTCTTATAATGGGCTTATATAACCCCATCATAAGATGAAAATACAGTAAGTAAGCCCAGCCGGTGTGGCTCAGTGGTTGAGTGTTGACCCACGCACCAAGAGGTCCCCAGTTTGATTCCCAGTCAGGGCACATGACCAGGTTATGGGCCAAATCCCCAGTGGGGGGCATGCAGGAGGCAGCCAATCGATGATTCTCTCTCTCCCTCTCCCTTCCTCTCGCTCCAAAAAAAAAATCAGAAAAGAAAATACAGTAAGTCAAAATGAATTTAATACACATAACCTCATAATTTACCTTAGCCTACCTTAAATATGTTCAGAACACACTTATTTTCGCTTACGATTGGGCAAAAGCATGTCGCTGCCCAGCATCACATACCACTAGTCCAGGAAAGATCAAAACTCAAAATTCAAATTACAGTTTCTACTGAATGCATATAGATTTCACACCATCATAAAGTCAAAAAGTCAAAACTGAACCATTGATTAAGTTGGGAACCATTTGTATTAATCTCACTAATAAGTAAAAGGATTGACCACAAAATTTTAATTCTATTATTATGAAAGCAGTATAATTCAAAATATTTTTATATTTGTAAGTTTAGTTTTTAATATGTAAATATTACACATATTTAGCCTAAGGCTTAAAATATCATTTTATTTATATTGACTTCTTTTAAAAAGGTGTAAACTATTTGAAAAAAGATGGAACAGTTCTTAAATATGCACATAGTTCTTACAGACTGACAAGGCTTGACAGCACAGTCTCTTCTTCCACACTGGCTGATGTCATTCCAGAAAGGACACGGCCTCTTCAGGTTTACCTGCAAAATAATAACAGAAAAAGTTTAAAATAATCTGTAAAAATAGAAAAAGTTTATAATCAACAGATGTGGAATTGTGATGCTATATCCTGACCGTGTTATTGCTGCAGTGGTTCTACTTCTTTCACTTACCAGTTGTCAAGTTCCAGTGATGACATAAATATGTAGCTGACATAAGTAAATTGGTAGACTTGTTTAGAAAGACACAGACTGCTAGTAAACAAACCCTGAGCAGATGGCAAGTAGGAGCCAAAGTAGCTCAGATCACCACCACTCAAATAATATTCTTTTAAAGCAAGTAACAGTTAACATGGTAGAACAGTTAGACAATTGTGAACTCAGACTGTAAGTACATAATCCAATGATCAGGTTTCCTAACCCTTTTCAATAGATATTGCAAGATAAAATATGACAAGTGACTTGTTAAAAATAATACAGGTCAAAATAAAGCTATGCTTCTCAAAAATATTTAATTTAATTATACTAATTAATTGGAAAAATTTGACATTTTAGAAAATTATGAACAACTCACGATTTTGATAATAATACATATAATAATTTATTTTCTGACTTAAGTTCAACCAACTAGTTTCTAACTCTTGAGTATAAAACTCAGTTATTGAAATTAAAAGTATACAATGAGCCCTAGCCAGTTTGCTCAGTGGTTAGAGCACTGGCCCACAGACCAAAGAGTCCTGGGTTCGATTCTGACCAAGGGCATGTGCCTCTGTTGCAGTTTGTCCCTGCCCTAGTTGGGGTCATGTGGGTAGCAACCAATCAATGTGTCTCTCTCACATCAATATTTCTCTTTCTCTCTTTCTTCCTCTCTACTTCCCTCCCACTCTATCTGAAGATAAATGGAAAAATATCCTCAGGTGAGGATTAAAAAAAAAAAAAAAAAAAGTATACAGTGTGTAGTCTCAGAACCACAGGGTTCACTCTTGTGAACTGAATTTTCCTAATATAGCCTTGATCAGTTTCAAGCAATAGCCACAATTTTGAAGCTTAACAATGCCTAAGTAAATGTAATTATCCATTTAAACATTAAGTATTCAAATAAATAAATAAATAAATAAATAAATAAATAATACCTTGTAATATCTAAAGTAGTCGCTTGCAAGAAGTTTTTGTAGTCTTGGGAAAAGCCTGTAGTTATTAAATCTATCAATGGTTTCAACATCACAGGTACAATCATCCAAGTAACCACTAACCTGTTACAAAGAAAATGCAATATTAAGTCAAAATGTCTTAGATCCTTAGAGTTCTTTTTCCTCACATGGTTACGATGAAAGCCCTCTACTCAACCAACCTTTATCCTCCTCCCCATAATTTTCTGAGATAGGGTAGGACAATAATCTAGTAATGCTATTGCTCTTACTATATAGACCTAGAGGAATGCAGTGGATATTTTTTGTAGGGTGCACTGAGCTCATAATGACACATACACACCCAAAGATTCTGTCCCCAGCAGCCACTTTGTAACCCTGCCTACCAGGCCTGACCAGGGGTGAATTACACAGATACACAAACATTTTAAAAGATACACAAACATACATCTGACCCAAACCAGGTCACAGTCCCTTCTCCAGGAATCTGGAATTGAGACTAAGATGTCTCTCCCTGTGGCTAGACCAGTAAACAAGTAAACTCAGACCATATCCCCTCATGTGAACTGAGGAGCACGAGACCAGTGAGCAGAGAAAGGGAAGATTTTACAACATACACAAAGAAGCAGAGATAAGAGATAGAGACATATGCTACCTGGACTCCAGAAGGTTTTCCCCACTTCTACCTATCTTTCCTGAAGCCCAGCAGCATTCGCATCCTTGGCTTTCCTGAGTCTCTATATCCTTATAATTCAATTATCTCTGTCTTCCCCTTATTTTTGTTTCCCATGGGATGTGTAGGTGAGAGACAAGATGGGTGAAGTGATAATGAATTTATAAGACAATAATTTATTAAAAGAATCTAACAACCCTCAAATGCTGGGCCATGATATTTTTTTGTAGGTTTTAAATGGTACTGAGAAATTACTTATCATTAACAACAGAATTTGCTAATTCTGAGATAGCAAATTGCCCACAAAGCCAATCCTAATCTCCAAATGCTTAAAACTGTTGTCTCAACTGTATATACTAAATCACACTAATAACTGTACCTATACTAGGATACAGTGGGTAATCATATTATAGTCAGACAGCATTATCAGATGTGAAAATAAATGTTTATTAGATGTGTACTGGAGGCTAGGTAAACACCTTACAAAATTAAACACTGCTTTAAGGAAGTAACAAATACATCATGATTTTTAAAAGGTTAACTAGAAAAAAATTTTTTTTTTAATATACAGCATGCTGCAGAAAAAGGGATCCTGCCTGGCCAGAGTAGCTCAGTTGGTTGAGCGTCCACCCATTCATTGAAAGGTTGCCAGTTCGACTCCTGGTCAGGACACATTCCTGAGTTGCGGGTTTGACTTCCAGCCAGGGAAGGCAAATAAACCATGTTTCTTTCTCTCTTTCTCTCTCTAAGCATGTCCTCAAGTGAGGATTAAAAAAAAGAAAGAAAGAGCCCTGGCCAGTTTAGCTCAGCAGTTAGAGTGTGGGCCTTCAGACCAAAGGATCATGGGTTTGATTCCTGGTCAAGGGCATGTCCCTGGGTTGCAGGTTCAGTCCCCAGTCAGGGTCTTGCAGGAAGCAACCAATCAATGTCTCTCTCACATTGATCTCTTTCTCCCTCCCTCCCTCTCTTCCACTCTATCTAAAAAATCAATGGAAAAATATCCTTGGGTGAGGATTAAAGAAAAAAATAATAACAAAATAAATTTAAAAACAGAAAATTTAAAAAATAATAATAAAATTTAAAAATGCCTATCTTTGGGAATAGATAAAATCCTATACTACCTTTTAATTTTAGAACATCACAAAACAGTAATGAAAATTTTTCACCTAAAAGATAAGAATACTTTGGATGATGACAGCAATATTCAAGAGCTAAGGTTTTTTTACCTTGCCTATTCTTATTTGTTTTAGACTAATTCGGTTTCTAGAAATCTGATCTACATATTTGTCACTGTAATAACTATTTTCATTTCATATGCAAATATGCCCTTGTTTCCTGTTAAAAGTTCTCTGAGTATACAATAACCTCAGAGTCCTAATTCTGGGTACCAACAAAACAAAAGTGCTGCTAACCCAGATGATCTGATTTTTTTACACCTCTTTCTTCTGAGTCTGAAATGCAGAACTTCTAAGGACATAAAATAGCTACTGTTTCTCCCCTTGGATACAAAATATTATACAAAGAATAACTGACACAAAGACTACACAGGCCAAAGGGACAGCTGCCAGATACAGACATTAAGTCACAAAAAGAAACAAACACATAAGAAACTTGAGAAAGGATTTGAAGCAATCAATTTTTCCTCCTGAGGAATTCATTTTTAAGGCAAACATCTATCTTCAATACTCAAGCTCAGGCATCTCCTCTTTTGGGAAGCTGCCCCTCAGGGACCACTCACCCCCTGCTGGATTAACTGCCTCTCTTAATGTGCTCCCACACAGCCCACATACTCCTACATGAGAATCACCTCAACGTGTTGAATTTATTTCACCCCCACCCTCTAGAATTTAAAATCCTTAAGAGAGAAACCATGTTTGTTCTTCTTTGTATGAACACAGTAGATGATCGATAACTATTTGTGGAATGAGGTGAATGAACACCTGCTGTGCACTGTCGCTCTCACTGGAGACCTGTTCTGCACTGGCTAATTATACTTATGTACTAGCGTGTCACCTATGGTGCCCAGACCATAGCAGCAGGGGTGCACTCACAGAGCAAGGAAAGCAAGCAGCAAAGATAACAACCCTTCGCATCCATCATTCTACCAATCCACATCCTACTTACAAAGGAAGCTATGAGAAGCCTCAAACCAGAAAGGAATGCAAGATGCATCCAGAGCAAAGGTGGCATATAGACCTCAAAAGGAGAGGAGGCAGGACAATGGTAGATTTTAAAATCTTCTGTCCCTTACCTTGGAAATTGAGTAGGAGGTAGCAGGGCAGCTAAGGAGTAGAATGGGAGTAACAGGGGTTTCAGTAGATAGAGAGAGCTCAGCAAAGAAGAGACAGGAAGGCATTTGGAAATCTAAGTCATCTGACAATTTGGCTAAGCCTGCCAACAGGCAGCAGAACCTGAAACCTGGCAGGAAGTCTGTCAGGTATAATACCAGGCCCAATTCTAGCAATTAGAGAACCAGGCATGTTACCAGAAGAGTCTCAGGAAAAGACTAAGGTAGAAATCCAGTTAATAGACCCAGGGTAGAATCTTGGAAACAATGCAAAGTCCTATTACCTAAATTAAAACCAAAAGGGAGGTGCCAACAGATAACAAGGAGGATTTGATGCTTCAGAATGTATTAAACCTGCTTAAATAGCTACTATCCCTGCTCCCAAAGTGAAACAGAAATCTGGCCATACCATAAAAATATGAATATTTAAAAAGATGTACATACAAAGTGATTGATGCATGCTAAAATCTGCAGCTTGCTGCTCTAGGCTTCAGATGGTACTCAGCCACGGATAGGGGCCAAGTTAATAAGTGGTGATTAAAAGGACCTTGTTGAGAAATGGTAGTTTTGAAGACCAATATAGGCCTGATATAACATCACCCAGTTTAAAGGTCCTAGTCTCTTAAAATTGGAAAGCCTTTGAAGGTCTCCTATTGAACCTCTCAAGCAACACAGCAGTCCCCTCCTACACACCTTCCAGGAGGAGGCAGTGTATAACAATGGTTAGCACATGCAGGTTTTGGAGCCAGAGTTGAATCCCATCTCTACTACCTATTTGTTGTTTCCTCATCTACATTTTTAACCTCTCCAGGCCTCAGTTTCCTATCTGAATACAAAACAGAAATAAGATTTCCCATCTCAAAGTATTGACATCAAAATAAAATGACTAAGTAAAATGCCCAATCAATGTTCATCATTCTTATTAGCTTACCACTGCTTAAATGCTTCCAGTGAAAGGGATCTTACTATTCCTCAAAGCAACCTACAACACATATTTAAAGGAAAAAAAAGGCCAAGTTTTCAGTTAAAATTTTTCCAAAAGCCATACGTCTGTAGCCCCAGTGGAACATAGAACTAGATAGAACTAGAAAAGTCAGCTGTGGAAGGAGCCTCAACTGCTTTCTCCATTGATTCTGACTGGTTTGGACCAAATGCCAAAATACTGTGTAAAAGGCAAGAGAAAAGAAAATAACATTGGCCTGCTTGCTCACTGTTCTCTGGTTAGAGGCATCCTTTAGTATGCAAGGAAAGACAAAACAAAAAACACTTTCTAAATAGTTTCCTTCGGTACCATCAACTTCTAGTCCTACCATAGATATTTTTTTTCCCCAAAGCACTGTAAGAATATATTCCTCAAATTCATATAAATATGAAATACATTTCAAAAGTGCTCAAAGTACACTTTATTTGGCAAAATACTTTAGTTGTGTTTAATTTTATTGTTTTGTGACCATAAAAAAGAATATAAGTATTCATTTGTTCATAGAGTGAATTGTGACAACTTTTGTTTTTGTTCTTTCTTTATTATTTATTTATTTATTTTGGTACATGCCCCTAGCAGGAACCGAACCCCGGACTCTCTGGTACGCAGGCCAATGCTCCAACTGCTGAGCCAAACCGGCCAGGGCTGTTCTTTTTTTTTTTTTTAATCCTCACCCAAGGAATTTTGTTCAGATAGAGTGGGAGGGAGAGAGAAAGAGAAACATAGATGTGAAAGGGACACATCAAGCGCCTGCCACCCGCACAACCCAACCAGGGCCGGGGACAAACTGCAACCGAGGTACATGCCCTTAGCGGAAACCGAACCCAGGTCTCTCTGGACCGCAGGCCGACGCTCAAACCACTGAGCCAAACCGGCCAGAGCTGTTCTTTTTTTAATTTATTTTTTATTGATTTGAGAGAGAAAGACAACATTTTGTTGTTCCACTTATTTATGCATTTACTGATTATTTCTTGTATGCACCCTGACCAGGGATCGAACCTGAAACCTTGGTGTATTGGAATGATGCTCTAACTAACTGAGCTACCCAGCCAGGGCCAGGACAACTCTTGTTAACGAAAGCATGAAAACACCAAAAATTCTATACTGAGTAGTTGGTACCATTCTAAGGACATGGAATGAATGCAAAGAGCTATTTCTCCTTTAAAGTTTTGGCCTTGCTAGAACTTTAAATGCCCCAATGTATGCCAACCAATGTGAAACACGCTTTGTTCCATACACTTTGTTCAGAAAAGCCTAGAATGTAGCAAGTACTCAGACTCAATGGACAGCTCTCCAGTATAACCTGTTTCAAAGATCCCTCTGACTAAGTTTTAATCCTGGGCCTATTTCCACCCACCACCCAACATATTATCAAGTGTCTCTTCCATGGCCCAGCCACTCTGACTAACAAATTTTAAACTATTTTAAAAATGGACATAAACAAGACACTAGAGAGGTAAATCTGCTAAAATTCATATATGCAGGGTGTATCTACAATGCACTCCAAACAAAAAATAATCCATTTTCAAAGTAGCCATTTTGGATTATCTGAGCTTCCCCATTCATTAGCCTGATAAAGATTTACTGTACTCAAATAAGTGGATATGAATGTTATTGGTACTAGCCATATTAAGATTTAAACTCCTATGTAGTCAAAATGTTTTATCAAACTCATTTCTAATTAATTTAAATAAAAAAGGTGTCTGCCTGGCTGGTGTAGCTCAGTGGGTTGAGCATCATCCCATGCACTATGAGCTCACCATCTCAGTTCCTAGTCAGGGCACATGCCTGGGTTTCAGGCTCAATCACCAGTAAGCGGCATGCAGGAGGCAGCCAATAGATGTTTCTATCTAAAAATCAATTTAAAAAAAGAAAAAGGCACCCTGGCTGGTTTGGCTCAGCAGTTGGGAGTGTCGGCCTGTGGACCAGGGAGTCCTGGGTTCAGTTCCTGCTAGGCCTAGCGGTTAGGAGCACATACCAAAAAAAAAAAAAATTTTTTTAAGTTTTTATTTTTTTTTATTTTTTTATTTTATTTTTTATCCTCATTCGAGGACATTTTTCCATTTTTTTGTACAGACAGAGTGGGAGGGAGAGAGAGGAAGAGAGAGAGAGGGAAACGTCGATGTGAAAGGGACACATCGAGTGGCTGCCACCCGCACAACCAACCAGGGCCGGGGACAAACTGCAACCAAGGTACGTGCCCTTAGCGGGAAGGAACCCGGGTGTCTCCGGACCGCAGGCGGACGCTCTAACTGCTGAGCCAAACCAGCCAGGGCTTTTTTAAAGTTTTTTAAAAAAGGTTCTTTCTTCCTATTACAACAAATACTACCAATATTATTTTGGTTTAAATAAAGAGCCAGGTCCTGATTATAGGTTATTTACACGAACTATACACAGACTTGTAAACCAACAGGGAAAAGAGGCCAATTTTCTGTGTAAAATTTTTTTTTAAATAGAATAATTTCTTTTTTTGAAAGTGGGGGCCCTGAGGTACCTCAGTTGGTTAGAGCACAAGGTTGCAGGTTCAATCCCCAGTAGGGTACATATGAGAATCAACCAATGAATGCATAAATAAGTAAAATGACATATTTATGTTTTTCTTTCTCTCTCTCTCTCAAAAATATCAGTCAATAAATGTTCAAATGTAAAAGCTCCCCAATTTTAGATACCTGAAAAGGTTATGTGGGTGTGGGGGATGAGTGAAAGATGAAAAGCTCAACGTGTATTTTTATTCCATTATCCAATTTTGAGAACACAGTTGAAAATGTTATATTGGGCATCTTCTTTCAACACCAAATGCCTTATTTTAGAGACACTTATTTTTAAAATGTTTAAACTTTGTATTATGTTATTTCTACAATCAGAAGAAAAATGGCCCTTTTTCTTTTTAAGTACTGTGTGCTGTTTACAATCACTGAAGGTAAAGATTTTCAGTATCTTAGTTGTAAAGCCACAACCTCTTTGTCACTTCCCTTACACGGTTCCAGATAACACCCAACCCCCAAATCACTCAGCAAAACAAAAACAAAATCGAAGAACCTAAAGCAGTGAAAAAGATCTCTCTTCCTCTTGTAATACTTAAAGTTGTTTCTATCCTCTGTGAAATCATATAATTGCCTTTATACATATAAAATGTTATTTCTGACAATAAATGAATAGTGAAATCCACTTAAAAGGAATAATTTGGATGCCCACCCTCAATTTTTTATAAAATGTAATTTTCATCAACAAAAGCCAAACAAACGGTGACTTTAAGAGTAATAGCATCAAAATACGAGACATCGTAGATCCAAAAACCTGGAAGTTTCTTTGAATGTTTTTGCTCATCTCTCACTAACACAGGAAAATGATCATACTATGCTTGATATCAAATTTGTTATCCACCCAATTTAAACCACTTATATGGTTGTCACGGTAAGAGAACCTCATGACATTAAGGAAAATGAAAACCACACAGGGCGAGGAGCCACAGAGGTGCCGCGACCCCAAAGACACAAGGCACTGGGCTTAGAGACAGAAACGCCACACGAAACCATTCCCCTGCCTGACAAGGAGATTTGACAGCAGCAGCAGCACCACCCCCGCCCCTTACAACAGCCTGTCCTGTCCAGAAAGGCTGGCGAAGGCACCCAGTACAGGCACAGGGTACCCAGTTCCAAGTCAAGTTACAAGTTTGAAAGACCCAGGTTCTGTACACACCTTCCCTGGGTAGGGAAGACCAACAAAGATGCATAAATCAACTCGGTGAAAACATACGGCGTGCACCCACAGCCCTCGCCCCACTCCTGATACCGAGCGCTGGAGAGCTCGCCGAGGTCCCGGCTCCGGTGGGAGGCCCGTCACACCCACCCGGGCGTGCTGCAGAGGGCTCGGCCCAGGCCGAGGAGCAGGAGCACAGGGGACTCATTCCGGGTGGGTGCAGATGCAAAGATGCATCCCAGCCCTGGCCGGTTTGGCTCAGCGGTTAGAGCGTCGGCCTTCGGTCCAGAGAAAGACGCCTCCCAGCACCTCACCCGCACAGGGGCGCGGGATACTGCGCAGGACCGGGGCGAAAAGCACCGCGAAGAGCAGTCAGCACGGCCATGCACACCCCTCACCTGGCAGAAGCACCTCTGCGCCGCCGTCTCCGGGGGCTGCTGCCCGCCGTGGCCCGAGCGGAGCAGCCACACCGCGCCCAGGAGGCCGATCAGGAAGCCCCAGCGGCAGCCCATAGCCACTCTAGCCGCTCGTCGCCGGGCGCCTGGGAGAACCAGGCACTCCGGAGCAGGCCGTGCGTCCGCAGATGAAGCCCGCGCCGGCCGGCCCCCACCGGCGCCCCACCTCCCGGCCGCCTCCCAGGCCCGCCCTCGGCTCTCCGGCCTCTCAGCGGCCGCCACTTCCTCGCCGAGCCTGCGGACGTGCCGAGACGCCCGCGCCAGCCGTCCGGGGCCTCGGGCCGGTTTCCTTCCTCGCGCGTGAGGCTGACGAACGAACCCGCTTCCCGGATCCGCCCGCCCGGCCTCCGCGCGCGCCCCCGCCCGGAGACACAGCCCGCCCGCCCGCGCGCAGCCTCCGCGCCGCTGTCAGGTTCCTTCTCTCTCGGAGCGCGACAGCAAGAACCGGCCGGGTCTCCCCGCAGGGCCCCGCCCCACCGCGCGCGCTCCGGGCCAATCCTACTGTATCTGAAGGCGAGGAAATCGAACCGTACGGAATACGTGTCCCCAGTGTCGCAAGCAGTCTTCTCAAGCTGAAAGGGATGTTAGTGATCATCTAGACCCAGAGCTGTATATGTATTTAGATTTTCTCGTAGTCACATCAAAAGAGCAAAAGGAAACAGGTGACTTTAATGTTAATAATTTATTTTACTCAATATGTGCAACATAGTTTTAAATATTCTCAATATTAATTTATTCATAAAATATTTAGCATTTTTCTTTTTACCCTTGAAATCTGGTGTGTATTTTATACGAACGAGCCATATGTCATAGTCAAATGTGACTGTGCATGGGACTGCGAAGGTAGAGACTACCCTCGCAGTGTATAAGAGAAAATAGGCCCAGGAAGGCGAGATGGTGTGAGCCAGGACTGACAGTGGGTGGTGGGCAGACCCAGGTCCTGTGCTTTCCAGCCACGGGATTCATCTAGCAGCCTTTTGTTGTTTTTAGGGTGAAACTGGAAGGCTTCCCAACAACTTACACATTAAAAGTCCAGGTATTTCAAATTATCTTTTTTTTCCTGCTAAGTCTTTTTTTTTAAAGCCATCGTTTAACGAAGTAGCTTAGGATATGGTAGGCCCCAAATAGGTATTACTTCTGTTTTCTATCTGAGAAAAATAGGCATGTAAAGTTTATGTACATTAGTCAAAATCACATGGTATGGTAAAGGTGAGAGTCACATTTAGATATTTCTTACTTAAACCTCATATACCCTATGCTCTGTCCATCACTGCCAAGCAGACTGACATGCAGTTAAAAAGTCATCAACCATCTGTGAGCCTGGGGGCTTCAGAAACTCTCTAATATCTACAATATGCCACATGTAGGTACATATTAGTACAATCTCCTTCTTTACTTGGAAGGTTCTTTTTCATTACACATGTATACAGATCTTCCTTATCCCCCTAGGGCCAGACCCAGCCCAAACTCCTATGTGGTCTTCCTGGTTTCCCCCTCACCCAGTTTCAGTCTCTAAATGAATTTCAATTCAACAAATTGACTCTATGCCAGGCTGAGCTTGACATTAGACATAGAAAAATGTACAAGGCCCAGTTTCTGCATGTGGAAGGACATCCCATAGAACTTACTATGTAATCGTTTATGAAATTTTCTACTTCATATTTCTGCCACTGAACTGTAATCTCTTTAAACTCCTTAAGCCAGGATTATGACTCAAACATGCCTGGTGACACCCAGAGATTTTAACAAGGAGCTTCTCTGCACATATTTGTAAAATGAATGAATGTTTTTCATGTGGCCACAGTATCAATATCTGAAGATTAGGCCATCAAAATAAGAGACACGCCCTGGCCGGTTTGGCTCAGCGGTTAGAGCATCAGCCTGCGGTCCTGAGAGACCTGGGTTCGATTCCCGCTACGGGCACATACCCCGGTTGCAGTTTGTCCCTGGCCCCCTGGTTGGGTCGTGCGGGTGGTAGCCTCTCAATGTGTCTCTTTCATGTCGATGTTTCTCTCTCTCTCTCTCTCCCACTCTATCTGAACAAAAAAAAATGAAAAAATGTCCTCAGATGAGGATAAAAAAATAATAGTAAAATTTTAAAAAATGAGAGACACAATATGAAAAAGGAACTAAAAGAATAAAGACTAAAATTGCAGAAGGAAGAATCTGAACATGAATCAGCTCTGGGTTTCACCGTGATGCAATAGCTTGTAATTTAGAAAAGTTTAAAAGTGGCATTGTTCCCAGGATGAAAACTCTATTCCATAAGACTCAAACTCTTCCGCAGCAAATTTCTAACAAATTTATAATCAGAAACAATCATCATATAAGACATCTTTTTTTACTTTGTTGTCTTTTTTAGCTTTATTGAGATATACTCAACAAATAAAATTATAAGTTCTTTAAAGTGTACATGATTTAATATACAGAGATATCATAAAAAGATTCCCCTCGTTGAAGTAATTAACACAGCCATCATCTCACATAATTCAACCTTTCCCCTGCCTTGATGAGAGCATTTAAGTTCAACTGTCTTAGCAAATTTCAGTGACACAATACAGTGTTATCAATTATAGTCACATGTTATACATTAGATCCTCATACCTTATTCATCTTATGATGGAAAGTTGGTACCCTTTTACCAACCTCTCCCTATTTCCCCCACCCCTTAGCCTCTGGCAACCACTTTTCTACTCTCTGTTTCTATGAGTTCTACTTTTTAAAATTATTATTCCACATATAATGATGCCATGCAGTGTTTGTCTTTCTCTGGCTTATTGACTTAGTGTATTGCTCTCAACTTCCACCCATTGTTGTAGCAAATGGCAAGGTTTCCTTCTTTCTCATGGCTGAATAATAGTCCATTGTATACGTATACCACAGCTTCTTTATCCATTTATCCATTTCCAGACACTTAGGCTGTTTCCATACTTTGGCAGTTGTGAACAATGTTGCAGTGAACACAGGGGGTGCAGATATCTCTTCGGGATCGTGATTAATGGATCTTACTTTATTTTCTTGATAATTATAATTTTTTCTTTCAGATTTATAAAAGATTTTAGCATGTACAAAATGCAGTTTATACATGCTATATAACTATAACTGACATTTCCCTGAGAAGCCTTTAAGTTGAACCTTTGTGTGAGCTTACTTCAACTGTGCCTGCTCTGGCAACCACCTCATCTTGCCTGTGTCAGAGCCCATGAAATAAATGACTAGTCATTCAATAACTATTGAAGGAACACCCAGAAGGTACATAGTTCAACCTTTTATTTCTCCAAGTCCAGCCTCCCATCTATCATAACTTTGCTGAACAACACTAAATCTGTCAGAAATGAACAAGGCTACAACTTTATTATTCTAATACCAGTCATTATAATAATAACATGACTTAGATTTAATTAACACAGCATTTCTTGATTGAATTCTGATTACTGTGCAAATAACATCTTTTTTTTTTTTTTTTTTTTTTTTTATGACCAAAGCCGGAAATAACTTGAAATGAGACGTGAAGGTTTCTGTGGGAAGCTTTCCAGTACCTAAGTATTTTTCTGGCATAGAATAGACTGGATGGAAATAATTTAAAGAAAAAAAGTTGGTCAAGGGAAAGGAATATTATGACACACAAGAGGGAGACAGGCTAAATAGAAATCTGAAAGTTGGGCGCTGACATTTGATTAGATATACTTATTTAAATAATAGTTATTAAATATAAATATACACATCATACATTGCTATACTTTTCTCTCAAGGTGCTTGAGATTATCTGAGTTGGGGAGACATGCCACCTAAGCTCTATCTTCACCTTCTTTATTTACAGAATATTCCTGAAAAAGCAAGCTATCTATATATAGTAACTGACTTCACTTCTGAACTTCCTATTCACACCTGAATCAACTGTGCCATCTGGTTTCCAACTCCAACCTCCTGAAACTGGTCTTTACTTCACCTATTGTCAACTCTAATGACCATTTTTTATGACATCATGAAATCTCTGCTGCACTTTGACAACAAGGGTTTCTCCCTCCTTCAATAAAACGTCTATGTGCCACACACTTCAGATTTTCCTTGTATTTCTCACTGACATTATTTCACCATCTCGTTCATTGGCTTTCCCCCAGCCCACATCTAAGATGGGCGTGTTCCCAGGGATTCTAGCCTTTGTTCAGTGCTCTTCTTCACCTACATTCTCCCCAGGAAAAACTTGCCTGATCTCATGTTTTTAAATACCTCCTGTGTGCTGATGACTCCCAAATCATTTTTCCAGTTCAGATAGCTCCCTTGAGCTTCAAAATCCACTTGCCTATTGGGCACACCCATCTGGTTTTCTCAGAGATGTGTGGACACACCACCATCCATATCTAGATACCTACAAGCAGGAAGCCACCCTCAGTTTTTCCCTCTCTTTCACCTCCCATGACCTATTACTAAACCAAGTTCTGCCAGTTCTGTCTTTTATTTATCCCTTCCTTTTCATCTTTACGACCAAGGACTTAGTTCTAGCCCTTATTGTTGCTCCCCTGCTTTACTGCCACATTTCCTTAACTAATCACCCAGCCTATAGGCTTAGACCCCTCAGAAAACAGCCTCCACACTAGCCTGTTTTCTCAAAACTGTAAATCTGACCATGTCACACCTCTTTTTAAAACTGGCAATGCTCATGATAGTCTAAGGAATAAAATGTAAGATTCTCAGCATGACATTCAAAGTCCCTGTGATCTGGCCTCACCTACTTCCAGCTTTTTCTCCTACACCTTTCTGACTACAAGGCAGTGACTGTTAACAATTTCCTATATAGACCCCATTTCCAGCCTCCACATCTTCGCTCACTCTGTGTCCTCTTCTAAAATGTTTTCTCCTTTGTCCCACATCCATCACCTTCACTTCACTTGGTTCCATTCCTCACCTTTACACTAAGTTCCATAAGGTCACATAATTGTGCTTACCACATGAAGTGAAATATATGTTTATGTATAGGTTTTCCCCATTCAGCAGATGGATAGGGAACTGGCCTTGGTAGTCTCAGGTTCTCCAGCACTTAGCACTATATTTATGCTTCACAGGATGACTTCCGAATGCATTAATGAATGTACAAATAAAGTAACTAATTAACAAACTGGAAAAGATAATAGCAGCATGAGATGGCACAGGGCCATGTGTGATTATGATTCAAACAAACTCTATAAACTTAGAGGCAAAGCCATCATTTTGGGCAGGAGCAAATGTGGATGGGGGAGAGGACACAATAGAATTGAAATTGACAGAGAAAATTCACAAACGGT